TGAAAGAATTTGGTCCAGTGGTGGATACTCTAACTTAACATCTGATGTAGCGTTAGCGTTTGAAGCTGTGTTTAAATTCACCGACTTAAGATCTGGTTCTGGTTCTTTCAAACACTCTGAACTATAGTTCTTTATGACAATATTGTTTGTCGTTCGTGAGTCAACATTTGATGTTGGTTCAATTGGAACATTAACGGCACCAGCTAAGATGGATTTGCTTCTCATTTCATATAGAATAAAAACCTTTTATATGTATGAAATGAACAATATACTCGACAAGGGTTTGAATGTAAAGCTAACGAATGAAAATATTGTTGAATTCACTGAGACAGGTGCTGTGTATAAAGATGTAGAACTACTGAACAAAAGAGCTAAGGGAAGAAGCAGGAATATGAACAAAGGGTGGAAGCCTATAAAAATTTATGTCAATGATGGCTCAGGAGGTTCAAACATAAAGTATGCAGAAAGTTATAGAGTTTATGCTCTCAAAGGTGAAAAGCCTTCATTTAAGAACAGCTATTCTAACGCATATCCTCAAAAGCTAACGGATGGGGAAGTGGATGATATGAATGACAGCAAAAATATTAACAGAAATGGCGACAGAGATGCATGGAATTTGTTTACCATCAGTCAATTGAAGGTTAAACTTTAAAACAATGTTGGTCGTTCCCATGGAATATTTTTGACTTTAATGGTATTAGTCATGATATGAATCTCAAGGTATGAACGAGGAGAGATGAGAGACTTATATGCTTCCCAAATTTCTTCAAAAGGTAATGTTATACCTGACTGTTTCCAAATGAGTTCAATATCATAGCGTGAGAAACCTTGAAAGATAACGAAGTCAGTTATGAGACGTTTTATGTTTAAAGCTAAAAACCTCCATGTTTGCATAAGTATTGCTACAGTTAAATGGTAATGTCTGACTTTAGTTATGATGTTAGCTAATGGTGAGTCAGGCTTTGAAACTAAACCTTTTCCGGCGAAGTCGTCACAAACGAGCAGAGTGTTTGAAGGATACTTTTTGAAGGGGTATTTTGAAAGTTTTGATAGAATGTAGTTTGTCAGTCGTTTCATATCGTAAACTCCTGAGTACTGACGTAAGTGGTGTTTGTCAATAATTCTTTCCATCTCCTCAGAAGTCTTTTGCATTCCTGACTGTATAAATTCAACGATGGCATAATATTTCCTCTTACGTCGAATGTAACGTTGAAGAAATTCAATGAGTTCACTGTCTGGAACTTTAACGACAGAGGCTTGAACTTTTGACATGAATGTTTTCGCTGTTGAGTCCATAGAGTCTGAAGTTGCTGATATAATGATTTGGTCATAGTAAGAGTCGTTTCCTAAACGCTCTGTTATGAGTATATGACGAATGAGGTTAAATGTCTTACCTGAACCCATCTTTCCACAATAGAAATAAACACCATTTGAACAGAATTCATAATCTTTGCTGAAAGGAAGAATGAGAGAAGAGTTAAGTTTGTCTGTAGTTTCATTCATGTCTTCATCTACGTCATGTATTAAATGCTTCATTTTATCTCCATTAAAAATGCAAGTCAGAAATATTCAGAACATAGCACCGAGTCTAACTGACAAGAGTATAAAGATATACTATGAACACGTTATGATGAAACCAACCAAAATTCAAGAAAGTCAGTATACTTATGAATATCCAAGACACTGGGTAGAGTATGTAGGAGGTGAGAAAGCTATTGAAATCAGACAGGTTCGAAGTATTCCAGCAGGAAGGACAATATTATTGAAGAACTTTAATGTTTTGAGGTATAATGATGAAACAAAGAAGCAAGATAGTTTTCCTGTTGCTGTGTATGTGAACTTAGATACAGGAGATGACATGAAAGTTTTTAATACAAAGCTTCAAACGGTAGTGAGAGAACAACTGACTGCGGAAGGGCATCCATTACCTTCAGAAGTTACCATAGCATATAATTTTGAAACAAACTCAATAGATTTTAAAGTCATCTCTGCAAAGAAGTCAGGATTTACATTTAATGAAGCAGATGTATATTCGAATGAAAACTTCAAAGCTATTGCATGGTTAGATAATGACGATTGCTTTAAGAAAATATTTAAATACAGTGACTCAAAGATGTCAATAGATGACCTTCGTGGAATGTTACCATCGACGTTTACAGTAGAAGGTTCAGCAGGATTGCTTACAAGATTGTCAATTGGTGGTATTTGGTCTCGTGAAAACATTGTTATAAAATCCAGTATAAGTGAATTTGCTGAAGAATCTATATTATGTCTTTCAAACTATATGTATTCGCCGCCAAAGCATTATAGTATAACAAACTTTGTCAGTAAGTTTAACATAAGACTTGTCGAACCTTCTTCAATGAAAGATGTTGTGCTACCCAAAGACGGAAAGGATGGACTCATTATTGAGATGATTTTAATAGCATATTAAATGAGCTTGTTCTTGAAGGTCATTCATGATGAAATAACTGTTGTAGAAGATGTTAGCAATTGTTCAGACATTTTGAAGCGTATAGATGATATAAGAAAGAAGTTAGATAGACCGCAAAGCGGTGAGGGCAAAGCCCGTGAGAACGCTTATGTTTCATTGACTTTCTCCAGTAACGAGAACTTTTATGAGATAATATTGAAGAGAGATGATTTTAATATGGTGTAAATGGTAGCTTGGGCAGCTTTAGGCGCAATGGGAACAAAAGCATTAGCATTTGGAGCAAAAGCACTTGGAGCTTATGACGCAGTAAATAAAATGAGTGGAGGAAGGGTTTCGAAGACATTAGATGCAAATAAAGGGAAGATTGGAGGCTGGGTTGCAAAGAAGTTAAGATTAAATAAAATAGGGCTCATAAATAAAGCATCCAATTTGGTTGCGACTGAGTCAGAAAATGCTTTAGGAAAGGACGATGAGTTTGCAAAACACGCAAAAGACTTTAATGACCAGATGAAAGGTGAAACAATGCATTTAAATAGAGTCGATGGAACTAAAGAAAATGTTTCTTCTCCACCAGCGGTTTATCCATACGGACCTTATGGAATGTATGGAAACCCTTATGAACGACCATTTGACCCATTGACTGGTGGAAGTAATTGGTATCATTATGGACGAAGAAGAAAGACAGTCAAGTTGGAGACAGACGTGAAGAAAGCAACTAAAAAGAAACCAAGGAAGAGAGTTATAAAGCAATGAATTCAACAGGGTGAAAAAACAGGTGAAAAAAGAGGTGAGATCTCACCACTTCACCTAAATTTATTTTTGTGCTATGTTTTCATACGTGTGAGGGTGGTGATATCATTAATTTTTAAGTTTATTTTTAAGTTTATTTTTATATAAATGACGAAAACTATTGAGATAACAAACTACAACGGTCATGAGTTCAAGAATTTGTTCTTCGTTCCTCGTGAAAATACATTCTATCAGATACGAGGGAGAAAGGGTAAAGTTAGTTTGAGCGTTTATGAAGGAATGAAGAATGGAAAGTTTATACAAGCATATGATACAAACGGTAAGCGTGTTTCATTAGCTTTGTCAAAACTTACTAACATTTATTTTGACAGTGACTTTGACTCTGACGATTGGAGCGACAGCAGCGATACTGAAGAATATGAACTATTGTGTGAAGCACAGCAATGGGAAGAGTTGCAATACTTTTGTAAGTGAGAACGTTTATTTTTTACAGTAGTGAGGTGAAGTGGTTGGCGGCTTTATAAATATTTAAGGTTAAGTTGGTGTTTGTGTTTGTGTTGTAAAATATACGTTACCGGTTTTGTAAAGTGTCAAATTCACAAGTATTGCGTACGGAGGAACGCAGTGCCACAGTACACGACTTATGTATACTAACTACCTTCAATGACTCCTGAACCTATGGAAGTACAAACTCCTGTTCAAAAGTCAACTCCTAAACCGACTCCAACATTTAAACCAGAACCTACTCCTCAAATAAATCGTAAAACTCCTGCGTTTCCTTACTGAAAAAAATAACGTTATTTTTATTTAATATTAAAAATTTTATTTGATTGAAATGACGACTAAAGTCACTGAAGCAATGAAACAAAAGTTTTTGGTAGAATACATTAAATCAGGAACTATTCCAGAAGGTTTTTACATTCATACTATGAAGGATGGTAGAGTTCAGTTTAGAAAGATAAAGCAACCATTAGATAGAGAAGGTATATTAAGGAAGATTAAACTTCATGAGGACAACATTGCTGAACTTAGGAAGAAGTTAGAAGAGTTGGAGAAAGGAAGAGAGTTATAAAGCAATGAATTCAACGGGGTGAAAAAACAGGTGAAAAAAGAGGTGAGATCTCACCACTTCACCTAAATTTAAATGGATGTTTTCATACGTGTGGGAGTGGTGATATCATTTATTTTTAAGTTTATTTTTTTATAAATGACAGAACAAAAATATAACATTTCTACTCAGCAGGAATGAGACCCTTACTGACTATGTATTCGTTTAATGCTTGATGAAAACAATGGTACATATTATCGTATGGGTATACACAACGTCTGTTTCCATCGTCGTCGTATATGTAGAGCTCAAATCCAGTCCAACCTTCTTTTGTACAATATGTAGCTTTATTTAAGTATACATTTATGTAGATAAGGCAATTTTCTTCATCGCTCCAGAAATAATTTTTGTTCTTTGTTGAAATAGTTTTCGTTCCTCTGCGACCATAAGGAATGTATGCAATGAACTTTGCGTCATAAGGGATTGTAATATATTCAGGGTTTCTTTCATCGTCAATGGGTCTGTCTTTGTTAAAATGCATGTTTCTCAGTTTTACTTGAGTTTTGAATAGTTCACGGAAACGTTCTGGGAAAGAGTCATAGTAAATGTAGTCGGACATGTCTTTGTAATGAAATAAAAAATTTAAAAAAAAAAAAAAATAAGGTTATTTTTATTTAGTGAGGACGGTAGTGAATTCGTTAGTGAAGTCGTTAGTGAAGTCATTAGTGAAGTCGTTTATGTGTCAGATGGTTTTGTAAATATTTAAGGTTAAGTTAGTGTTGTCGTTTGTGTTGTAAAATATATGTTAACGGTTTCGTAAAGTGTCAAAACAGCTAAGTGGTGTATGGAGGCGCGCAGTGCCTCAGTACCCAAGATAGCCATACTAACTATAGATGACCTTCGTGGAATGTTACCATCGACGTTTACAGTAGAAGGTTCAGCAGGATTGCTTACAAGATTGTCAATTGGTGGTATTTGGTCTCGTGAGAACATTGTTATAAAATCCAGTATAAGTGAATTTGCTGAAGAATCTATATTATGTCTTTCAAACTACATGTATTCGCCGCCGAAGCATTATAGTATAACAAACTTTGTCAGTAAGTTTAACATAAGACTTGTCGAACCTTCTTCAATGAAAGATGTTGTGCTACCCAAAGACGGAAAGGATGGACTCATTATTGAGATGATTTTAATAGCATATTAAATGAGCTTGTTCTTGAAGGTCATTCATGATGAAATAACTGTTGTAGAAGATGTTAGCAATTGTTCAGACATTTTGAAGCGTATAGATGATATAAGAAAGAAGTTAGATAGACCGCAAAGCGGTGAGGGCAAAGCCCGTGAGAACGCTTATGTTTCATTGACTTTCTCCAGTAACGAGAACTTTTATGAGATAATATTGAAGAGAGATGATTTTAATATGGTGTAAATGGTAGCTTGGGCAGCTTTAGGCGCAATGGGAACAAAAGCATTAGCATTTGGAGCAAAAGCACTTGGAGCTTATGACGCAGTAAATAAAATGAGTGGAGGAAGGGTTTCGAAGACATTAGATGCAAATAAAGGGAAGATTGGAGGCTGGGTTGCAAAGAAGTTAAGATTAAATAAAATAGGGCTCATAAATAAAGCATCCAATTTGGTTGCGACTGAGTCAGAAAATGCTTTAGGAAAGGACGATGAGTTTGCAAAACACGCAAAAGACTTTAATGACCAGATGAAAGGTGAAACAATGCATTTAAATAGAGTCGATGGAACTAAAGAAAATGTTTCTTCTCCACTAGTAGTTCTTCCGTATGGTCCCTATGGAATGTATGGAAACCCTTATGAACGACCATTTGACCCATTGACTGGTGGAAGTAACTGGTATCATTACGGCCGAAGAAGAAAGACAGTCAAGTTGGAGACAGACGTGAAGAAAGCAACTAAAAAGAAACCAAGGAAGAGAGTTATAAAGCAATGAATTCAAGTGGGTGAAAAAAGAGGTGAAAAAAGAGGTGAGATCTCACCACTTCACCTAAATCTATTTTTGTGCTATGTTTTCATACGTGTGAGGGTGGTGATATCATTAATTTTTAAGTTTATTTTTTATTTTACTGAAAATTTTTATTTGGATGTAAATGACAGAACAAAAGCAACTCATTCGAATTCCACAGTATAACAAACATACATTTAAACATTTATTCTTCCTTCCTGAGCATAACATGTTCTTTCAAATACATCCGAGACCAGTTGACTTTTCATTGACTGTGTATAAAGATAGAAATAGTTATATCATTAAACCATACGATGACGAAGGTAAGTTATGTAAATTGTACGTTAAGAAGTTAGAGAAAGTTTATGGCTTCAAGTATGACTACAATAGGGTTAACACTGATGATGAAGATATTGAGGAAAATTTATGAGAACATTAGTGAAGTCGTTAGTGAGAACGATAGTGAGAACGTTTATTTTTACATTAGTGAGTTCGTTAGTGAAGTGGTTGGCGGCTTTGTAAATATTTAAGGTTAAGTTAGTGTTTGTGTTTGTGTTGTAAAATATACGTTAGCGGTTTTGTAAAGTGTCAAATTCACAAGTATTGGGTAAGGAGGCGCGCAGTGCCTCCGTACCCAAGACTTGTATACTAACTAATGTAATAAACAAGTCTTTGAATGGTCCTTCCATCTTGAAGTTTCCAATCATCGAAATGTCAACGCCAAGACCCATTTCAGGGACCCACGTTGGGAATCCATTATAAAGAGACTTGAATTCTCCAAATGGTTTGCCTTTCTTCACATTTTCGTTGAATGTGGATCTTAATTCTTTCATCAAGTCGCCAACAGTCATATCAGGCTTAACAACTGCTGTTGCATTGGCATGTGAGAAGCAATTTGTAACATTAAAGTCACAATTCTTGACGTAAGGACGCAAATTGATATTTGTTGAGACACCGCATTTGTCAAACTTGCCTTCGAACGCTGATCCAGCGAGAATGACACTTGACCAGTAGTATTCTGTCATATTCTTGAGTTTCTTGTTGACTTTGAATGACATCAAATCTTTTGCACGGGATGTTGTGAATTTTGATGCAATTCTGCGACTAATGTGCAACTCATATGGGGATTTCAAGTGAATTCTGATTAATTCTGGATCTGTTGAAGTAAATTGCGGAAGTTCGCCAACATATCCATTAATTTTATCGGCAAGGACTTGCTCATCTGGTATAATTGATGGTGTGTAACCTAATTCTTGATCGTTCGTTAGTAATGTGAATAAATTCTTTAAATACATACCATCTCCTGCTAAATGATTGATGTTTAGAATGACAGTATCTTTATTGGCACCAATTGATGCTAAGCATTTGGATAATGGCCTTGTGTATCTCTCAGACATGATTTCTGATAATTTTCTAAGGTCTGTAACATCATCTGGAAGAACTGCAATAGGAGTTTTATCATTAGTTCTGAAAATATTTGTACCATCTGATGCGTGATGGAGTCCTGCAACTGTTCTGTCTAGTTTTTGAATGATTTTTGGAACATCCTTTGGATCATTAAGCTTCATTGCAAGTTCCATGTTTCCTTTACCAAAAAGGAAGATTCTTTCCCATGCGGAGGCTGGTCTGGACTGAAGCATTGGTTTGAAAGTGAAATTGTTAATTCAAACTGAAAAAATTGAATGCAGAAAATTCATTTCAATTTGAATCCGATTTTATTTCAATAAAATGTTAGCCAAGAATTTATCCGGAAATTAAATCATGAAGAATGGGATATGCAGTGATGCTGAAACCACTTTGTTGTAAACAGAAATTCATCAAAAGTGACACCTCAGAAAAGCTAAAATATTGAATTTTTGGAACTTTTGATAGAGCACGTTTTTAAATATTAATTAAAGTAAATGTATATTTTGTAAAGATTCTTTTTAATAAAAAATAAAATTTTGAAGAAGAACACAAAATCTTCTGAAAAATAATATCACATAAACTCATATTATTTTCTAATATATAACTATTTTATATAAAAATCAAATTCAATGATCTTAAAAGCGAAGGATAAACCTCAAAATTTACGAATATAATGAGTGGGAATATAATGCTTATCTATCATAAAACCATATGAAATATCAATTTTTGCTTTACGCCTAATTTTTGACGACAATTAGCAAAAAATGTTAAATGTTAACACTCAGTCCATTTGAATATGAAAAATAAAATTGACTTTGATTAAATGTTTTTATTTATCATGCAATTCTTCTTGCGACCAAAGATTTGAATAAAATTTCAAAAAATAAGATAGCTTAAAAAATAATATACGGTAGTGTTTACTAATAGATGAATAGTATATAAATTCTATTAAAATGGATTTGATCCAAAAAAATATAAAACCAAAAATAATTGTTATAATTTAAATGAAGAAGTAATTTAAAACGATTTTATTTATGATCAAATTTTATATATTTTTTTGGATCAAATCCATTTTAATAGAATTTTATACTATTCATCTATTAGTAAACACTACCGTATATTATTTTTTAAGCTATCTTATTTTTTGAAATTTTATTCAAATCTTTGGTCGCAAGAAGAATTGCATGATAAATAAAAACATTTAATCAAAGTCAATTTTATTTTCATATTCAAATGGACTGAGTGTTAACATTTAACATTTTTTGCTAATTGTCGTCAAAAATTAGGCGTAAAGCAAAATTGATATTTCATATGGTTTTATGATAGATAAGCATTATATTCCCACTCATTATATTCGTAAATTTTGAGGTTTATCCTTCGCTTTTAAGATCATTGAATTTGATTTTTATATAAAATAGTTATATATTAGAAAATAATATGAGTTTATGTGATATTATTTTTCAGAAGATTTCATTCTATATGCCTATGAAAAGTACTCTCAAAACTAACTTTTTCCTAATTATAATTAAATCTAGAATATTGTATTATGCTTAGTATTATTTCATTTTTCTCATTCAATTTAGAATTTACAAATGTCAAAAAATTGAGAGCTGTCACTTTTGATGAATTTCTGTTTATTACAACTTAACGCTTCCGATAGATCTCATTAATTGGGTTTTTCTAAAATTAGATTTAATCGCATTACATCAAGTCCCATTCTTAATTCATTATAATTGGATCAAAGTATAGTCTATCGATAAGCATGTTCTCTTTTGATTCTCAATCAAAATACTCTTCAAAAGTGAATTTGTTTTTAAAATTATGGGTGGTAAGTCATATTCGATGTAATCATTATTGATCGAAGCTAATGAATTGATCTGTGAAAGAAAAATCGAAATTAAAAAATAAAATCTTTTATTTCTAAGAAACAAAATGGATTAAATCAAAAGAAGATATATGGTTTTGAAGAAAGCAACTTTCTTTGTGTGTTCTGATAGTCTTTGACGAGATCTAATGCCTCATCAAGTAACATATTCGGAGCAACGTTTTCTAAACCGAAATGGACAGAGTTAGCAAGTAACTGAGCCTCTAAATCGCTCAACATTGTAGTAGAGTGTCTCACAGTTCCGCGGAAAACGTGTTCATCTTTCTTTTCGACTGAATAACCGAAATAAGAAGAGAAACCGGCCAAACCGTAATCATTGACCTTAAACGAGACAAACAAGTCTTTGAATGGTCCTTCCATTTTGAACTTTCCTATCAAGGAAATGTCAATTCCGAGGTCCATTTCTTGTGACCACGGTGGAAATCCGTTATAAATGGCCTTGAATTCTCCGTATTGTGTTCCCTTTTTGACGTTTTCTTCAAAAGAATTTCTTAATTCTTTCATTATGTCGCCAACAGTCATATCTGGCTTAGGAATAGCTGTAGCGTTGACATGTGAGAAGCAGCTTGTAACACTTAAGTTCACATTCTTAGCAAATGGACGTAAATTGATACATGTAGCAACGCCGCATTTATTAATCTTTCCTTCTAGTGTGGAACAAGCAAGTATCCAATTAATCCAGTAGTATTCTGTCATATTCTTCAGGCGTTTGTTAACTTTGAAAGTCATCAAATCTTTTGCATGAGAAGATACGAATTTTGATGCTACTTTAGTCGATATATGTAATTCATTTGGAGATTTTGTACGTATCCTGGTAATATCAGGATCAACTGAAGCAAATTTTGAAGCGCCGCCAGTATACGCTTTAATATTATCGCTTAAGACTTCTTCATCTGGAATGATTGTTGGCTCATAGTCTAATTCTTTGTCACTCTTGAGCTGAGTAAATAAGTTTTGTAAAAACATTCCATCTCCAGCCAAATGATTAAGATTAAGGATCACGGTGTCTTTATTAGCACCTATTGATGCTAATGATTGTGATGATGGCCTTGTGTATCTTTCAGACATGATTTCTGATAATTTCTTAAGATCTGTAACATCATCTGGAAGATTTGCAATTGGGGTTTTACCAGTTGTTCTAAATATATTCTTGCCATCTGTTGCGTGGTGTAATCCAGCAACTGATTTATCAAGTTTTTTAATGATCTTTGGAACATCTTTGGTATCATTAAGCTTCATTGCAAGCTGGATGTATGCCTGATCATTAATGAACAACCTTTCCCATGTAGCAGTTGGTCTACCTTGAAGTATCGTAAATAAAAAAATTGAAAGAAATCGTAGACTCTGAAAAAATTGAAAACGAAATTAATTTCAGTATGTTTATGACCAAAAATGAGATACTTTCAAAAATGGGTATGTTCACCATCTTTGGACTGAAAAATGGCCACTCATTTTTAAACAACTGATAACGTTGCCGATCTGATAATTTGAACCCATCAGATAACAATAATGATATCGGCCTAACCGAGCGATATGTCATATAGACTCGTAGAATCATTCTTTGCTTATTCTTGATGATATATAAAGTTAATTTAATTAAACAAAAAAAATAGTTTTATTTAGACAGGTTTTAAAAATGGATGTAAGACTTTGAAGCATTAGCTTTCTTTTGTGTATTCTGATAGTCCTTGACTAAATCTAAAGCTTCATCAAGTAACATATTTGGAGCAACATTTTCCATGCTGAAATGAACTGAGTTAACAAGTAATTGGGCCTCTGAATCAGTCAAAACACCTGTTGAATGTCTCATTCCACCATGGAAAATATGATCATTCTTTGATTCAACAGAATAACCATAATAAGAAGCGATTCCTGATACTCCATCATCTCTCTGATGGAGAGAAACAAACAAATCCTTGAATGGTCCTTCCATTTTGAAAGATCCGATCAAAGAAATATCAGCGCCAAGGCCTAATTCGGGCAAACAGACAGGGAATCCTTTGTTTAGTGCCTTAAGTTCTCCAAATGGCTGTCCATTCTTAACGTTTTCGTTGAAAGTTGATCTTAATTCTTTCATTAAGTCTCCAACAGTCATATCTGGCTTAGCAACTGCTGTTGCATTGGCATGCGAGAAGCAATTTGTTACATTTAAGTTACAGTTCTTTACATATGGACGTAAATTGATGCATGTTGCAACTCCGCATTTATCAATCTTTCCTTTGAAAGCAGAGCAAGCAAGGATGAAACTTGTCCAGTAGTATTCTGTCATGTGTTTAAGTTTCTTGTTAACTTTGAAGGACATCAAATCTTTGGCATGTGATGTGGCGTATTTTGTGGCAACTCCGCTTGATAAATGTAATTCATTGCGAGTTTGTGTGTGAATACGAGTAAGATCTGTATCAACTGTGCAAAATGTAGGAAGTTTGCCATTATAGGCGTTTACTTTGTCACCTAAGACTGTTTCACCAGGGATAATTGTCGGAACATAGTCCAATTCTTTGTCGCTCTTGAGTTGAGTAAACATATTTTGTAAATACATGCCATCTCCGGCCAAATGATTGATATTAAGGACGACTGTATCCTTGTTAGCACCAAGTGATGCTAATGCTTGTGATGCTGGCCTTGTATATCTCTCAGACATGATTGTTGTCAACTTTTCAAGGTCTGAAACATCATCAGGAAGATTAGCAATAGGCACTTTCTCAGTAGTTCTGAATAGTGTTTTGCCATCTGATGCGTGATGGAGTCCTGCAACTGTTTTGTCAAGTTTTTTGATAACATTTGGAACATCTTTTGGATCATTGAGTTTCATTGCAAACTGGATGTATGTATTAGCACCGATGAAGATCTTTTCCCAGTTGGCTGTAGGTCTAGCGTCTAACATTCAATTGAAATGGTCGGAATAAAATTTTTACAAAATTGAGAGAAAGTGTGAATTCACACAGAAAAAAATTGAACGAACCTATGAATTCACATGCAAAAATGACAAAAAAAAGAATCTTATATTTAATTTATAAAGAATAAAGCGATTTAGTCATATTGCTTTCAATTAATGGAGAACTAAAATTTTTGGTTCGTGATATACTTCTTATTGATTGAAAGCACGTTCAAGAATGTGATGAACGTTTTCACGAGTGACAGTGTTCTTGTATCCGAAGTTATTGCCGTTGAATGAGTCCATAACCATGTTTGTGACTTCATCAACATCACCTGCTTGAAGAACAACTCCTGGTTGATCTGTGACTTTAGTGAACTGTCCAATGCTGATAATCCACTCTCTGATGTGCTTGATGAACTCCTTAGCTTTAGTGTAGTCATCGCCGTCACGAACGCCGAAGACGAATTCAGCAGCGCGTGCCATTGTGTACTTACGAGATTCGATGAATTCCTCTAAGAAGAAAGGAGTGATGATTGAGAGTGTTGAAGCATGGTCGATTCCCCACTTAGCTGTGAGCATGTGTGCGATGCCGTGGATTCCGCAGCATGTGACTTTTCCGAGTTGGAGAACGTAGTTGAGAGCGAAACTGCATGCTTGGACGAGTCTTCCTCTGACTTCGATTGTTGACTTGTCGTCACTCATGACATCTCCACTGATGTCGACGAGCTCCTTCATGACGCAGTACATGAAGTTGTCCTGCATTGGGAGGACGTGTGGTGTTATGACTAAGTCGATGCAGTGTGTCATCGCGTCGTAGAGACCATTCCTGAGTTGTCTCTTCGGGAGTGTCATCGTGTACTTAGGATCGAGGATTGAGAAAGATAGGTACAACAAGTTGTTGATGAGAGGAAGTTTCTCTTTCGTCGACCTGCGAGAGATGACAGCACCGTTGTTCCATTCTGAGTCTGTTGCAGGTATTGTCATGACTGTGCCGATTGGTGTAGACTTCGATGGGTGCTTCCAGTATTTGACCATGTCCCACATGTCTGTTCCATCTTCGATGTTCATCGCGAGAGAGATGAACTTTGTTCCATCGACGACACTTCCGCCACCGACTGCGAGGAGTAAGTCTGGCTTGTACTCGCGAGCAACTTTGACGATCTCGACAAGTCTGTCAAACTCTGGATTTGCTGGGATACCGCCTTCCCATCTGACTTCGCACTCAAGTTCACTAAGTGCTTTTGTAACATTGTCACGTGCACCATTCTTGTCGATTGATCCGCCACCAAATGTAACTAATACTTTTGTATGCGGTTTTACGAAGTCTTTCATGTGTTCAACGACTCCGTTCTGTCCGAAGATAACGCGTGTAGTGTTAAGCCATTGCCAACTCATTATGTTTTGCAAGCTTGTTTAAAAATGAACTGGATATTCTTTCACTATTCAATATTCTTGATTTTTAATTTTTTGTTAGCATTCTCAGAAAAATTTGATACGAGATTTTCAAAATTCGGTAAAATGCAATTGCCATCGCAGTTTGGTGAATATTGTAGGAATGCTCATATGATATATAGGCATTCTTGTAGTGTAAAAATTGTGTTCGTCATTAGCCCTTCAATTTTGATGGTGAATTCACATCAAAAAAAATTTTTTGCTCTGAAAATTGCTAACATTTGAGAACGATTTAACTAATGAATTCACAGTACATTAACCTAGAGATGCGAGTTTCCGAATTTTTTTAGCCCTGGGATGTCATAACCGCTGCGGTTTTGTAAAATTTGGGATAAATTTTGACAATCCATTTTTTGTGGGATGTACGTTTATATCAATTTGCTCGGCGTTTGCCGAGCTATTGTACAATCCTACTCGAATTCATTACGCAGCCCTGGTCACTCAAAGGCCAGGGCATACAATTACAAAATAGTAGAGTGAGACTCTTCTAATTTCTTCCAATCACAAGGAAGATCTTAGAAGAGCCTCACTCTACTCGAACACATTACGCAGCCCTGGTCACTCAAAGGCCAGGGCATACAATTACAAAATAGTAGAGTGAGACTCTTCTAATTTCTTCCAATCACAAGGAAGATCTTAGAAGAGCCTCACTCTACTCGAACACATTACGCAGCCCTGGTCACTCAAAGGCCAGGGCATACAATTACAAAATAGTAGAGTGAGACTCTTCTAATTTCTTCCAATCACAAGGAAGATCTTAGAAGAGCCTCACTCTACTCGAACACATTACGCAGCCCTGGTCACTCAAAGGCCAGGGCATACAATTACAAAATAGTAGAGTGAGACTCTTCTAATTTCTTCCAATCACAAGGAAGATCTTAGAAGAGCCTCACTCTACTCGAACACATTACGCAGCCCTGGTCACTCAAAGGCCAGGGCATACAATTACAAAATAGTAGAGTGAGACTCTTCTAATTTCTTCCAATCACAAGGAAGATCTTAGAAGAGCCTCACTCTACTCGAACACATTACGCAGCTCCTGCTCAACAATGAGCAGGTCTTACCACTTTGAGAGGCTTTCGTTCGAGTTCTGATGCAGATCCCAACGCGAGCGAGAGTCTCTCAAGCAAGCTTCTAATTCGTAGCTAGAGTTTCACTCTTATGAACTGGCAGCCAATTTGAGAGACTTTCGCTCGAGATCTAATGAAAAATCAGAACTCGGCCAAAAATTGCCCAAACAGGCTTGTAATTCGTAGCTATAGTATTGATCGTATGGATGTGTTGCCAATATGAGAGACTTTCGCTCGATGTCTGATATTGCATCAGACATCGAGCGAAAGTCACTCAAAACAGCTTAGACATGTCTATTTTGACGGCATTAAATGATTTCATAGGAAATGTCTCAGTTGTTAATTAAGTTCACGTGAGCTTTTATGAATGAAAATAAGTAAAAAAAAAGAATTTTCTCAAAAAAATTGTGTACGCATTGAAATTTTTATCTATAAATTTAGATATGTCATCAATAATATAATATAATTTTAAATTCGTGGAGTACACTTGGGATAATTGAATATGGGCTACCCCATCCCAACCTCTCAAACTTCCTCTGAATTTGGACAAGGTATCCCAATCCCAAAGACCTATCTGAATAAAATGAAATAAGTATATTATATATATTATTTATTTGCTAATAATGAGCATAAATCGCTAAAATTATGAAGAAATTAAAAATTAAAAATTAAAATTAGAAAAAAATGTTGATTTAATGAGAGAATATTGTATAAAAATAGAATTATTAGCTAAAATACGTATTAATTTTATGATATTTCAATCACATTAACGAAAATCGCCCATTTTTAATTCAAATGGGCGGGAAAAAAAATAAAATTCCAAAAAAAAATTGAATTGGGGAAACGATAGGGGACGGGATATGAGAACCCCCATATGTTTGGGAATTTTTCGCATCACTACATTAACCTCGTAATGATATATATTATCCAAAAACATAATGCTGATCCATTCCTTTTGATACCATTGCTCTTTCCATCAAAAGAACATTTATAAAAATCTCAATATTCAAGATATCAATCTGTAATTATTATTCTTTAAACTTGTAATATCCATCCATTCCAATTTGCTTTCATATAACATTTATATTGATTCCAAACTCTTGAGTTATGAGTGTTTAATTATTACCAAATATGATACTTAACATGAATTTAGAGCCATCATTCCATATCTACAATTTTTAAACACATTTCGTGCCAATGAGTACATTTCTTATAAAAAAGAGAATATAATTATGCGTTCATTTCATCAAAATTTGCTTTTAAAGAATTGATCAGGACTTTAATATGAATGAGAAATGATGTTAAATGCTTGACATGATAAATATTTGGATGAATAAATGTGAAAAATAATGTGAATTCACATATAAAATTATTTATCAATGTAAAGCTCAGATAAACAAGAGCAATGGATTCAAAAGGAATGGATCAGCATTATGTTTTTGGATAATATATATCATTACGAGGTTAATGTACTGTGAATTCATTAGTTAAATCGTTCTCAAATGTTAGCAATTTTCAGAGCAAAAAATTTTTTTTGATGTGAATTCACCATCAAAATTGAAGGGCTAATGACGAACACAATTTTTACACTACAAGAATGCCTATATATCATATGAGCATTCCTACAATATTCACCAAACTGCGATGGCAATTGCATTTTACCGAATTTTGAAAATCTCGTATCAAATTTTTCTGAGAATGCTAACAAAAAATTAAAAATCAAGAATATTGAATAGTGAAAGAATATCCAGTTCATTTTTAAACAAGCTTGCAAAACATAATGAGTTGGCAATGGCTTAACACTACACGCGTTATCTTCGGACAGAACGGAGTCGTTGAACACATGAAAGACTTCGTAAAACCGCATACAAAAGTATTAGTTACATTTGGTGGCGGATCAATCGACAAGAATGGTGCACGTGACAATGTTACAAAAGCACTTAGTGAACTTGAGTGCGAAGTCAGATGGGAAGGCGGTATCCCAGCAAATCCAGAGTTTGACAGACTTGTCGAGATCGTCAAAGTTGCTCGCGAGTACAAGCCAGACTTACTCCTCGCAGTCGGTGGCGGAAGTGTCGTCGATGGAACAAAGTTCATCTCTCTCGCGATGAACATCGAAGATGGAACAGACATGTGGGACATGGTCAAATACTGGAAGCACCCATCGAAGTCTACACCAATCGGCACAGTCATGACAATACCTGCAACAGACTCAGAATGGAACAACGGTGCTGTCATCTCTCGCAGGTCGACGAAAGAGAAACTTCCTCTCATCAACAACTTGTACCTATCTTTCTCAATCCTCGATCCTAAGTACACGATGACACTCCCGAAGAGACAACTCAGGAATGGTCTCTACGACGCGATGACACACTGCATCGACTTAGTCATAACACCACACGTCCTCCCAATGCAGGACAACTTCATGTACTGCGTCATGAAGGAGCTCGTCGACATCAGTGGAGATGTCATGAGTGACGACAAGTCAACAATCGAAGTCAGAGGAAGACTCGTCCAAGCATGCAGTTTCGCTCTCAACTACGTTCTCCAACTCGGAAAAGTCACATGCTGCGGAATCCACGGCATCGCACACATGCTCACAGCTAAGTGGGGAATCGACCATGCTTCAACACTCTCAATCATCACTCCTTTCTTCTTAGAGGAATTCATCGAATCTCGTAAGTACACAATGGCACGCGCTGCTGAATTCGTCTTCGGCGTTCGTGACGGCGATGACTACACTAAAGCTAAGGAGTTCATCAAGCACATCAGAGAGTGGATTATCAGCATTGGACAGTTCACTAAAGTCACAGATCAACCAGGAGTTGTTCTTCAAGCAGGTGATGTTGATGAAGTCACAAACATGGTTATGGACTCATTCAACGGCAATAACTTCGGATACAAGAACACTGTCACTCGTGAAAACGTTCATCACATTCTTGAACGTGCTTTCAATCTATAAAACATAAAATATTTCTAAATTTTTCCATGGACACATCATTTTCTATTATACTTCATTATAAGCATCTTCATATCTAGATACTGTTTTATATGATTAAATACTAAGCAGAAGAACTATATAACTCAAAATTGCGATGCAATTTTAAAATAAAACTGTTTTTATGTGGAATTAAGATGAATATAAGGCATTCCTTGTAAGTATTTATGATAATGTTGGATTTTAAAGAAAAACTTTTTAATATTCTTTATAAACATATTCATTGTTTATTGAATTGTATTGATATGCCATGATAAATTTCTTAAAAAATTATAAAGAATCATCTCCTTTCAAGACATGAAAGCGAGATCCGAATTCAGAACAGTAATTTGAATTTTCGGGAAAAAATTAATAGAAGAATGTAATTTTTATTAGTTTAGTACTATAAATTTCCGATTTTTGGTAAGCTATCCAAAAAAATCGTTTGATAAATACTCTTCTGAGAGATAATTTCTATATATTGATGATGACTAAAGAGTATACATGTATATTTTCCTTTAAAAAGTGTATTTACGTTCATTCAAGTAGCAATTGCCAACATTTTTCAAATTTTCAGAATACTGGATAATGAAATTATGATTAATATTTATGTTACAACATCATAAAATGTTAAAGATTTGAATGTCTAAATTTGAAAGAAATTTTTGATGGGAGAATGGTTTCTATAGTTTACAATACACAAATTTTTGGAAAAGACAAAAAAATCGAAATGAATTAATAGAGATCATTGCTAGTATAATTAAATTTGTCATTTGAAAGAAAAATCATTTTAATGATTTCTGCCAAGGAGTTTCATGATCAATGCAAAGTAGTTCTATTAGGCGCAGCCAATTCAGGCAAAACGACAACCCTTAGGCAGCTAATAGACGGAGAATTCCTTGAAAGCTCCCCTACTTTAGGAACAAATCTTAGCATTTATGAATGTCGAGTAAAGAACGAAAAAATCAAGTTAAATATATGGGATACAGCAGGTCAAGAAACATATCGTAAACTTGCAAAAATATATTACAGAGATTGCAATGTGGCTCTAGTATTTTTCGATGTTACATCAAAAGAATCATATCAAGATGTAAAATATTGGATTTCAGAATTGGATTCATGCGGACCTCCATATTATGAAACAATTATTGTTGCAAATAAAGTTGATCAAGAGAGAGAAGTAACATCTGATCAAGGATCAGAATTAGCACGTAGATCAAAAGCCTGCTACATGGAAATCAGTGCTAAGACCGGTCAGAATGTAAAGAATCTGTTCAACCTTGTTGCATCAAAGTTTTACCAGATAAAAGATGATTTGACAAAGAACAGAAGATTGTCATATGTAAGTGAATGCAGCCCTAATCGCAAATCATCCTGCTGTTAATGCGTAAAATGTTATTATTTCTTTATTTTAAACTTACTTTTTCTGAATTTCTGAGATGCAAATAATATGAATAACTGAAGATGTGTAAGGGAGATAGAATTAAAGGTTTTAATATCTAAGATTGAATTCAGATGTTGATAAATTTCAAAATGTTATGTTGATATTATAAAAATTGAATATGAAATGAGATCTGTAGTTAAAAATGAAAGTTTTTATTGATAAAATCAAAAAATTTATGGAATAATTTCAGAGATATTTAGAATATAAAAAAATGTAATAAATTTATCTGTAGAAAATTTAAGAGGATATTTTACTCAGCATCTTCAACCTTCTTCTTTCCGTGGAGCCAGTCGGAGTTCTTGACGAATGGGTGCTCTTCGAAAGCGCGGTCCTCCCACTGGTCTGGTGTGAGGAACTTGAATGTCTCTTCCATGGCCTTGTATGTGGCAACAAGGAAGTTGAATGTTGTCTTTGTGTGGCCAAGAGAAGATGTGAAGAGATCTTCGAAGCCAGCCATTGTGAGGAGCTTCTTAGCAGCTGTACCAGCGACGATGCCGGAACCACGTGGAGCTGGGATTAAGCGCATACGGATAGAGCCGCACTTGCCTGTGACTGTGTTTGGAACTGTATGTGGAAGACCGATCTTGTTGCCCCAATAGCCACGGCGAACTGGAAGGATGGAAAGCTTGGCATAGATTGTGGCGCCCTTGATAGCGTTGGCAACTTCAGCAGCTGTCTTGATGCCGAGACCGATATGGCCCTTGCCATCACCGACAGCGGCAATAGCTTTAAAGCGGGTGCGCTGGCCGGCACGTGTCTGCTTCTGGACTGGCATGATCTTCATGATTTCATCCTTAAGATCTTCACCAAGGAGATGCTCAACAATTTCGGCTTCCTTGATTGGGATAGCGTGGTAGAAGATTTCTTCAATGGATTTTATCTTGCCAGACTTAACGAGACGGCCAAGCTTTGTGCGTGGTTGCCATCCGCCCTTTTGCTGGCCACGTGGAGCGCGTGGACCACGTGGGCCACGGCCTTCACGGCGGCCGCGCATTTCACCGCGGAGTGGTTGCTGTTGCTGTTGACCTTCAACCTGAGGTTGCTCTGCAGGAGTAGACATTCGAAAGGCAGACCAAAACCGTCAAACAAACCGATAACCGTTTTTCTTGGTAATATTATTTTGTCGATTTCTCGGCGATTTTCATGGCCATAATGATTGAAACCATATTGTATGATTGGCGCTTAATGCTGTTCTTAAAGGAAATTGTTTGTTGGAAAAATAATATATATATATATTTGGAAATTTTAAATATATGCATTTACTTTACCGGCAAGTGTATTTCGGATATTTCTTGTATGACAAACAGTTTTTACACTCCATTTAGTATCTTGCCTAAAATAATTCTTATAAATCTTAATTAAAAATACGGTTTTGTTATGATTTAACATGATTCTTATTTTGTTACACGACTAATTCTACGGTGCATTGCATATTTATCATAAAATACATTTTATGAATAATAACCACGAAACAATCGTTCAAAAATTGAAAACCTCTGAAAAATTTTCTGTTGCTTTTAAGAATAAATTTTGCATAAATCAAAAGTATTTTTAGAAACAAAGAAGAGTATCGAAAAAAAGTTAAAAATATTGAGAACCTTGAAATTCAAATAAAAAATCGGAATACAAGCTTAAGAGGTTTTGGAACTTATCATAATTGATGATTTGAGTCTATAATTATATTTAAAATCTATATAAATGCTTATGTAAAGTCCAAAATTAACATTTTTTTCATTTAAAAAAAGAAATGAACAAATTCTGAATTGCGAAACAGTTATTTATCCTAAAAAGATGATTTCTATAATATAGATAATTAAAAATAAACAATAAAATTAAATTACAAAATATAAATAATAACTAAATAAGGAAATTAATGGTAATTTATAAGTTGATTTATATCTGATGGATCGATATCATTTGTTATTTGATTACTGTTATCTTTTTCAGTATTTTCAAATTTATGGATTTGCGAAGGAATAAATTCGTCTATTAATGAATAGATTTTGTCCCAGTTTTCTGTATACCAACAGAGTATTGCTGTCCTGTTTCTATTAGCCATTCTGTCTATTTTGGCATGAATTCGCTTTGAAAGACGGCTGGCGAAAATTCTGAGTTGTTCAACAGTAAGCTTATCACCATAATGACTCTCTAATATGGAAATTACTAAATCAAGTTTAAATTCATTCTTTTTAAATCTCTCTTCTAATTCGTCGAATTGATAATCAATTTCTGGGTTAACTGATGTTGCTAAGTTTTTGCCTGTGGGGAGTTTTGTATTTGTCATTAGCTGTGTTGTCATCAAATATAATTTAAATGAAAATCAATTGTTGGATTTAAACTTTGAATTGTTAGAAAAAATTTTAATATTGTAAAAAATAAGAAAGAAAAAAATAGAAATATTGAGTTTCTTTTTATATAAATATATGAGAAAATGATTTTAATATGGAATAATGTTGACAGAATCAATAATTGAAAGGAACTGAAATTTGAAAGTGCTCTTTTAATTAAATGCATAGATAGGTTAATTAATGAATTATTATGTGGTGTAAGGAAATCTTAAATAAGTAAGTCTCTTTTCAAGGATATTTCAAAAGTTTTATGGAGTATTACGAAATGAGATTGATGATAATAAATTAATCAATTTCATATTTTAATTGATTATTGAGATAACATTCAAAAATATATATCTGCACGTTTATGGGGATAATGACTAGAATACTTTGAAACATTATTAATATATGGACTGAACTTTGCCATACAGGATAGTAGAGAAATTCGAATTGAGAAGGAAGAATTATTAATAGCTTCTCAATTTTTTAAATTTGAATTCAATATTCAAATTTTAACTAAAATAATATTGTTATTGTAACAATATTTACATATTATAATCAAAAAATATTTTTGAAAACATCGATAAATTATTCTCAATTATATTTAGTTAGCCAATTATAAAGTTCCTTCATTTATACACATATCTAATTAAAAATATGATATAAATAAATCTGAGTAATGAAATAAAGACATAAAATTCTTGTTGTCTTTCTTCTTAGTGCGGAAATTTGCTTTTCCGTATTTTAACTAATAATTATGTTTAAATCATGAATGGTATTATATTTGCAATGTTAAATGCAGAATTCCTTCGATACCATTCAAATCGATTAAAAGTGACAAATAATTATGTTGTATTTTCAATATAGTTTCTATTTGGAGCTGTTAAGTATCAGTATTATCGCCTTATTATGAGAATTAATTCATAAGTAGCAAATTTTATTTTATGTATAATAGGTTCCTTCGGAGAGCTAATTACGATAGAATTTTCAATAATTATTTTTCTAATTCAGCTCATTATGAATACAAGTAAGTACAAGTAAGTTCAAATTGTGAGTTATTGTAAAAAAAGTAAGAATTTTAGCTCTCAAGTTTTGAAAGGGGGCTTAGTTCTACTCGAATGAAAAGTGTCTACAACAAAATCATTGAAAAAAAAATTAAGAAACATTATTGAACAAGGATTTAGGATCTAAAAATAAAATTGGTCAGTCGAAAATTAATTCAAAAGTTTATTTTCTGAATTTGAATAATGCCAAGTAAAAATATTTCACTCTAAAGAAATTTTTGCTAAATGATATTGTATATGGTATTATCTAGCTGTACAATCCGTTTCACTTTTCAATAATTGGATAAAGTTCTCTAAATACAGTTTTTTATTTTTTAATAATTCGTAATTTTAATAAATTACTAAAAATGCTTTATTAATCTAAATAATTTCTTCTTCAAAAGGAATTTCAAAAACGATTCAAATCAAGCTGGCCGTTATTTTCTAACTTTAGTATATACGTGCATGAAGCAATATTTCTCAATATTGAATTTCAATTAATTCAAAACTGAAAAAAAAGTCTTATTAGGAGATGGAGAACACTGTCTTTCAATCTTCAAGTAAGATAACTATACCTAACTATATTGGTCATTACAAAGTTATTAAAACCATTGGTAAAGGAGGATTTGCCGTTGTAGTGCTTGCCATCGATACTCGTAATCAACAAAAAGTAGCTATAAAAATTATAGACAGAAAAGAAGTTGAAAAACAAGAACTACTAACCTATCTTGAAAATGAGCTTCGCTTGAGCGCACGTTTCGATCATCCAAATATTGTGAAAGTTTATGATATACTCTACGATCCAGAACGTATAATGATTATTATGGAATATGTTCCAAATGGTGACCTACAGACCCTCATTTTCCGTGGAATTTCCTTTACACTTGAAGAACAATTGAACATATGTTATGAAATCCTTCAGGCGCTTCAATATCTCCACCATAGAGGTATATCTCATAGAGATTTAAAGCCAGAGAATATTCTTTTTGATTTAAAATTTCATCCAAAGATAATCGATTTTGGTCTATCCAAAGAAAAGTGCGAAAAGCTTCATACTTATTGCGGGACAACATTATATATGGCTCCAGAGGTTATTTTATGCGATACTTATGATGGAAGTAAAGCAGATGTCTGGGCTTTTGGAGTCACGGCCCATATCTTGGCTGCACAAGCTTTCCCATGGGGACTTAAAAGCGAAGCTCAGTACTTAAAATGTATACAGATGCAAGACATCTCAATAGATGTTATACCAAAAGGTATCATAGGGTTAATCATTTCAAAATCATTAATTTTCGATCCGGCTCAGAGGGCTAACGTTGATGTCTAATTGCAAGAAATGAAAAAATATTTACATCCTTCACAGACAGTATTAACTCTTCCCTTCAGAGAAAATCGAAAACTGAAGATCACTTACCGAGACTTTCGGTAACTAATTCGACACCTGTTTTTATTAGGCAAAGGAAGTCAAATCCGAGAATGACTTGTTTAGAAGTACGTCTCAAAAAATATTTTTTTTATGTGTTATATTTTATCTGTTTGTATTTACATTTAAAATATTTGTTTTATAAGATCGCATTGGTTTTTAACACACCAATTTATGACAAGTAAAAGCTTTTTGAAAGCGAAAAAAAATTTAAAGGAAATGTTGATTGTTTGAAAAACAACGATTAGAGAGCCATTAAGCGATTTGATTAATAGAATTTTTAATGAGCTGCTATCCATAGAAAAGTAATTCTGAGGATTATGAATATTCGCATGTGACGTTAAATAACAATTAGAACATGAATGGTTCCAATATCATATTTAAGCTAATTTTGGTCATTAAAATGGAACTCCATTGCGTCCTATCTCAAATATTTGAGAAACAGATTTAAAATTGTATAAACACACAATTTGAAAAGATGAATTATCGGTTTACATATTGAAACACTGGATACGAACTTGAATAACTTGAAATCAATAGAATTATTTTCTTTAACTATTTTGAGAAAAATATAATAAAAATAATTGGATTGCTATTTTATTTATCTATTATAACAATGATTCTCAATGGATTTTAAATTTGAATAATGATAATTCAATCAGGCTAGAAGTATTTTCTATGTGTTATTTAAATTTTTCAATGGGAATATATATATTTCATCGAATAAAGAAATGTCATAACAATTGTATATTAAGCAAAATATTGTCAAAGCTGGGCAGAGTGTCAAATATTTTAAAGAAAATTTCAATTTATAGAATAACTTGTTCAAAATCAAACATGGAAAGCGATTTATACTGTTCTATAGAAAAATATCACATGATACATATCCCACAGCAGATTGGTAAATATAGAGTGATAAAGGTCATTGGAAAAGGCGCCTTTGCTGCCGTAGTTTTGGCATTAAACATTTCTACTGAGGAATATGTGGCGATTAAAATAATTGATAGAGATTCAATCATCAAACAAGGATATCTACTATATCTAGAGAATGAATTACGTTTGAGTTCACGGTTCGATCACCCTAATATAGCTAAAGTTCACGAAGTTATCTATACTTCCGAAAATATTATGATAGTTATGGAATATCTACCTAACGGTGACCTTTCAAATCTTCTCACCCGTGGAATAATCTTTGGAACAAATGAGCAATTCAAATTTGCGTCACAAATAGTTTCAGCTTTAGAATATCTACATGATAGAGGTATCTCTCATAGAGACATAAAGCCAGAAAACATGTTGTTTGACGATGAATTCAATGTCAAACTTGTAGATTTTGGATTATCAAAAGAAAATTGTTCTTCTCTTCAAACCTATTGCGGAACCCCAGTTTATATGGCTCCAGAAATAGCTTGCGGCAAAGAATATGATGGAGCAAAGGCAGATATTTGGGCATTTGGAATAACATTTCATGCTTTTTGCTTTGGAATGCTTCCTTATCCAGAAAATGATGATCGCAGTATGTTGTCTGACATAAAGAAAGGAAATGTCAACATTCATCCAAACGCAACCGGAACAATTAAGCAGATTCTGGATCTAACACTTAATCCAGATTCGGCTAAAAGAGCTACTGCAAAAGAACTTCTTGATATTATACATTCCTCTGAATTTAAGAATCATTTGGAAGAAACAATTACATTTCCTAAGAAAATATCAACTGCTCCTTCTTTGCCTCATCTTTCCTACCAAAATACAGGACAATTAGTCGCTAGATCAAGAAGAAAGAATGGAAGAGTGATATCTAAGATAGTTTTACAAGTTAGAAAGAGAACCATCAAAAGTATTTGATTTGTAATTTATTTGTTTTAAGTTTCGGACTATAATTTGTTTATAAAAATAAAAATTTATAATATTTTGCGATAACAATGATTTTATTTGATGTTAACCATTTTATCTTTTTGTATATTTGTTAATTTCGCCATCATGTTTTTGATCTACTAATGAATAAAATATTTATGGATAAAAAACTTAAAGGTGATTGGTTCTACTGCTAAGATAATGTTATAAAATAACTAAGGATGCTTTTGATCACTTAGTCCGGTTAGAGTAATGATGTTTAGCGCCCTTGAAATCTTGCTATTTCTTGAAATAATGAATAATATTTAGAAATTTTAAGCAGGTATAAGGGAATAATATTTTGCTGTGTATCTATGGAAAAATTACTTCTGATTGATCATATTCTTAGGACCACTTGAATTTAGTATTCAAAATTTAGTCTCACAATATTTTGTGAAGAGGCTATCGGGGAAAATTATATGTAAGTAAGGGTTTCGTTTTGCTAAAATTGTCACTTTTATAGCATATTTGTTTTTGGATGTTTTGCGAAACCAAAAAAAAACTATGATATACAATGTGTGTGTAAAGAAAATACTTTATTTACTAGTTAAAAAATCATTTGGTATTGATCAAGTTATTTTTTCTGGATAAGATATTATATGGATAATTGGATAGAAAATACAATTATATAATCTTGTACCTGGTTTAATTAAGCTAATTGTCATCAGAAACTTGTAATTTTTATGAATTTCAGATTTTCTTTTCATTACTGCTTTTCTTAATAGGTCAAGTTCTTATTTACGTTATAAAGTATGATATTTACAAATATCAAGTTATCGTGTTTTTTGAGAAATTATGAGAAACAAACAAAAATGAAAAAGATAGGAATAGCAATGAATAGTGATGTGGGTATAGAAAATGTAAGAAATATGAATGCAAAGCAATCAGTATTTAGGATATTGACCATAGATTTCGAAAAAAAAATGCTGCATATTGAGCGAAAACTATGATTATATTATAAGGCTGTCATTTAAAGCATAATGAAACTATTCCCTTTTCATTTTAATCGAATAAGATAGTAAAGATTTTTGAATTAGCTAGAAACTGATGAGATGTTTTCACAAATCAGATTTTTAATCTCTATAATGCATAATTCACTCAATATCTCAATTTTGATATTGCGAGATATTTTTGCTAGAGTAGGGGTAATTTTAGCTAAAAGTGACACACCTGTAAAAAGTGACACACCCGTGAAGGGTGTGATTACCGATCGGTAATTTCGACAGTTTAGAATTTAAAATTTTTTATGGAACTGTTGCGAGTTTCATAAAGAATTTAAGGAATATAAGCAAAGATTTGAATCAAAATCTTAGACCTAAGCCGCTCGATTCGCTCGCGGCTTCCGCGAATTACAGATCAGCAAAGATTTGAATCAAAATCTTCGAACTAAGCCGATCGCTTCGCTCGCGGCTTTCTTTATTATTTTAAATTTGCATATTTCCATCAAAAGTTCATAAGGTAAAAAATTTCGTTTATTTTTACTAAGAAAAAAAGGTTTTTGATAATAAATTTATTTTATTTCGAAAAAGTAGCAATAATCGTAAAGGGGTATTGATAGGCTTGCTAAAGTAACTAATTTTAGCTGTCAAATACTTTTGTATTTTGAAGTAAATTAGTATAAATTTGTTTTTACTTTTATTTCGAAAAAGTAGCAATAATCGTAAAAGGGTATTGATAGGCTTGCTAAAGTAACTAATTTTAGCTGTCAAATACTTTTGTATTTTGAAGTAAATTAGTATAAATTTGTTTTTACTTTTATTTCGAAAAAGTAGCAATAATCGTAAAAGGGTATTGATAGGCTTGCTAAAGTAACTAATTTTAGCTGTCAAATACTTTTGTATTTTGAAGTAAATTAGTATAAATTTGATATTATTTTAACTCCCTTTGAAAACCTCAATTTTCCATACAGAGGGAACGGGAATAGCATCCAATATTCCCTGAGAATGGTTGCGCATTCTCAGTTCCCTCTATATTTCGAACGAAGCTCTCATCGGTCTTTTTTTTAATACTAAACGTTTTTTTCCTGTCACTTTTAGCTAAAATTTGGGTTTGCCATTTTTGCTATCGGTTTAGCAATTTTGACACAATAGCAAGAGGGTTCTATTGTTGTAAACAGAAATTCATCAAAAGTGACACCTCAGAAAAGCTAAAATATTGAATTTTTGGAACTTTTGATAGAGCACGTTTTTAAATATTATTTAAAGTAAATGTATATTTTGTAAAGATTCTTTTTAATAAAAAAATAAAATTTTGAAGAAGAACACAAAATCTTCTGAAAAATAATATCACATAAACTCATATTATTTTCTAATATATAACTATTTTATATAAAAATCAAATTCAATGATCTTAAAAGCGAAGGATAAACCTCAAAATTTACGAATATAATGAGTGGGAATATAATGCTTATCTATCATAAAACCATATGAAATATCAATTTTTGCTTTACGCCTAATTTTTGACGACAATTAGCAAAAAAATGTTAAATGTTAACACTCAGTCCATTTGAATATGAAAAATAAAATTGACTTTGATTAAATGTTTTTATTTATCATGCAATTCTTCTTGCGACCAAAGATTTGAATAAAAGTTCAAAAAATAAGATAGCTTAAAAAATAATATACGGTAGTGTTTACTAATAGATGAATAGTATATAAATTCTATTAAAATGGATTTGATCCAAAAAAATATAAAACCAAAAATAATTGTTATAATTTAAATGAAGAAGTAATTTAAAACGATTTTATTTATGATCAAATTTTATATATTTTTTGGATCAAATCCATTTTAATAGAATTATATACTATTCATCTATTAGTAAACACTACCGTATATTATTTTTTAAGCTATCTTATTTTTTGAACTTTTATTCAAATCTTTGGTCGCAAGAAGAATTGCATGATAAATAAAAACATTTAATCAAAGTCAATTTTATTTTTCATATTCAAATGGACTGAGTGTTAACATTTAACATTTTTTGCTAATTGTCGTCAAAAATTAGGCGTAAAGCAAAAATTGATATTTCATATGGTTTTATGATAGATAAGCATTATATTCCCACTCATTATATTCGTAAATTTTGAGGTTTATCCTTCGCTTTTAAGATCATTGAATTTGATTTTTATATAAAATAGTTATATATTAGAAAATAATATGAGTTTATGTGATATTATTTTTCAGAAGATTTCATTCTATATGCCTATGAAAAGTACTCTCAAAACTAACTTTTTCCTAATTATAATTAAATCTAGAATATTGTATTATGCTTAGTATTATTTCATTTTTCTCTCATTCAATTTAGAATTTACAAATGTCAAAAAATTGAGAGCTGTCACTTTTGATGAATTTCTGTTTATTACACTATAAGCATTATTATCAACGTAGAATCTGAATATCATATCAGAAAATGTCGCAAATCTGACATCTACCCGACCAAATAGCAAAAATAATTGAATACTTTTCGCAAAAACTTTAAAAATCGATAAAAATATGAAATATAGATATTAAAGAGACTTATTATATAATATTCATAAAGATTTTCCAAAAATATGATACCGCAAAATTAAAAAAGTGACGTCTTGAGTGGAGTCAAAGGTCGAAATTGCTAGCTAAATGTTTTTTTAGCGAAATTGCGTATTGTACGTTTTTTCGCAAAACGAAACCCTTACTTAATGTAAGGTATTGATTTAACAAATTAGATCGGATAGTTTTGGTCGATCGCAATTTGATTTCAATTTCGATCAAACTCAATTTCATCGGTAGATTATCTTACAAAGAACTTTTTTATCATCACGATTGTTAAACTTTTCAAAAGCTATGTTTAAATTTTGAAAACTTCTTTCAAATTCCCAAACATGAACTCGATCTCTGTTGTTGAATTGCTTGATAAAAAGCAATTAACACTCAAGGATATCGACAATTCCTATGTACCAAAGAACCTCGTCGATACTGTAAATGTTGAAGAGCTTATTTTCAACTGCAATGTTCAAAATTTGAAAGATTCAATTGAAAAACTCAAAGAAATCTTGAACAGGAATAAGTACCTTGTTCCATATGCATTAAAAGTTATGGAATATGCATCATCCAAGCGTCAGCGCTCAATTGAACAACTTTCACGTTTATTTATCGAAGTTTCCAAAGAATTCAACACATCAATCGAATTAACAGATGTTGACTTCGGCACTGTCTTAAAGGAAGATGGTTACGAGAGCAATGTCTTCCATGAAGAAAAATCCAAAGCCGAAGTCGTTCAAATTGAAAGCAAGAACATCGTCATGCATGCAATTATCTGGGACAAGCTCGAAGAATTCAAACAAGTCAGTTCCCAGCATAACATGGACTTCGAAAAAGAATTTATCGAATTAACTTTACTTGATCTCAGCGCAAAGTACGGCTCATCACAAATTTTCAAGCATCTCATATCAACAGGTCATCGTGCTACAAAGAATACATGCGTTTGCGCTGTCGAAGGCGGCAATAAAGAAATTATCGAATTTTTAGCACAAAAACGTTATTCATTCGACAATTGCTTGACGAAAGCCATCGAATTCCACAGAAACGATATTGCTTCATGGCTTCTCGAGAAATATACATGTGAAATTTGTTCGATATCAAAATGCATCAAGTTTATGGATATTTCTGCAGCAATTTTCTTCGCTGAAAATGGATTTAATGTTAATAAGAAATTATCATTTACATCTGTTCTTCATTTTTCTTAGAAAGAATTTGATTTCGTTAATTATTATTTTTCATACAGTTCAATTTTAAAATTATAAGACATCATTAACATTAGCATGCGAAAACAACCTTACTGAAGTTGCAAGATTCTTAATTGAAAAAGGTGTTGAACTTGAAACTACATCAGGAATTCATTTTTGTGTTTATACATTAATTCTTTTTAATTTTTATAAGGTTCTTTTTTAAATTTATTTCGGAATTCTTTTTTTAATTGATGACATTCATCATTTTACTTATGAAATGATTCTTTATTGGTTTATTATACTGTTCGCTTTCTTTTTCATGTAATTCATCTTTAAATTTATGTTGAAATTCATTTGTTGTTAATGAGACAAAAATTCATTTTATGTTCATGAGACACCATTGATCATTGCCGTTCTTCATAATTACATCGACCTTACAAAATTACTCGTTGAAAAAGGTGCAGAAATCAAAATTACTAACATCGTTCTATTTTGAACTTATGGAATATCCGTTCTATTTGTAATTTATGAAGTTCTTTTTTATTTTCATAACATTCAACATTTAATAATGAAACGTTTTTTATCAATTTCATACCAATTCTATTTCATTTCATATAGTTCTTTATGTATTAATGACTCTTCTCCTCTAATCGTCGCTGCTCAATTCAACTTTGTTGAGATTGCTGAATTTCTCGTCGAACATGGTGCAAACATCAACGAGGAAGGCGTTTTTTATAATTTCAGACAATTCTTTTTTGATTTCATTATGTTCAATTTAAATTTATGGTTCTCCATTAAAAGTTGCTTGCGCAAAAGGATGCGTCGAGCTGGTTAAATACTTCGTCAAGCATGGCGCTCAAATTACAGATGCCGTGCTTGATGCTGCCATTGCTCAGCCAAATGCTGAGATTAAAGAACTTGTTGGCGTAAAGCCACATTAAACTACAATAAAACTTTACTTTTCCTAATATGATCCCCTTGTTATTTCGAATTTTACCGGATTCTGAATTGAAAAATTTTGAAAATTTAGGATAATTTTAATGATTTTTAATGTAACTGTAAAATTTACAATTTGTTTTTAGCTATTTCGGCATACCTAAAGTTATCAGCCCATTTAAAAAGTGTCAGAAATCTAATTAATAAATATGCACAATATGTTATAGTATCAGATTTCTTGATTTTTTTCAATGAGGCAATTTAAATAGATTTTCACAATGTTTCAATAAATTGTTGAATGAATCATTATTCTATGTCTTTTTTAGGGTACGTAAAAAATTAAAAAATTTGAATACTGATTCAATTATAAAACTCTTTTTATAAAATTGAAAATAAAGAACTATCACTGAAACTATTCATTATCATTACAATTAAACTATTCAAGACTTTTGTACAGAGTTATTGATATTCCAACGAATTTTATCGCTTACATATATACGCTCATCCAGCGAAATATAATATAATGAAAATAATCTAAATTTCAAAGAATCATATTCAATTATTGAGATCAAATTCAATTAATTGCTAGGTTTACAAAAATTATTCATTTTTTCAAGATAATAGGGGATAAGGATCGCTTAATGGATCACGACAAAGATAAAGACAAGTCGAATCCAATCATCGTTTTTGATACCAACGAAACCGATGGGCAATCCAATATCTCAATAGGCTATAGGCAGCCTTCATTTATCAGATTGAAAGGCGTATTGATACCAAAAGGTTTTGATTCACTCGATGAATTCCAAACCTGTCATGTTAGAGTAAAAGTTAATTCGGTTAGAGATATTTCTGCTACAACGCAAACGATTCAGGAATTATTAACTAAGCGAAATGAACAGAAATGGAAAGAAATGGGCTATGACCCGATGCAGATCGAGAACTCCCTTAACAGACAGCACTCTCATACTCTATTTACGAACAAAGAAAACAAAAATAATCTTAAAGATATTAAAATTTTTTCATCATTTTCACAATTAGAATCTTTCGATCTCGATTCAAAGCCATCTAACACAGATTCTAAGTATCAATTGATGGATATAACGGAAGAAGCTGAAGAAGAAGAGCCAAAGAAACCAATTTTTAGGTCATTAAGTTCTGGCCTCCAATTTCCTAATTTGGAGTTACCTGAGTCAAACAGCTCGGTTTCTTCTCCAGAAGAGGAAGAAGACTCAGATTCATATTCTGATCAAACATATGTTTGTTTTCTCGATAACGGAATGCCGGAGCATGTTTACAATATCCTGAAACATGATCCGAATACGCTTGTGTATAAAGTTCTTTGCGGAAGAACTTTTCCAGGATTACCTTACGATATAATGAATATATTAACAGATGAATTAGAATATTACGCTACAGAATGCGCTGACGAGTCGCATGAAGCTACGGCCTATCACGTACAGAGTTTAATTGAAGAATTAAGGCGAACAGCCGATCGTTCAGATTTATATGTCCCACCTTCAAACCAAGCCACGTACCAAAAGAAAATCAAAGAATTTTACAATTCCTTCGAAGCGAAAGTTGAATATTGGGATACGCAGTTATTCCTTAACAAAGACTTCCAAGAGCGTAGTATAAAGAAGCTAAACGAGAATCCGAAAATTAAAAAGCAATCCAAGGAATATGAAGACCAACTTCAATTCATCCAGTTCCAATACGACAAAGCCTTATTCGCTATCAACAGAGGCCAAACGGAAAACCTCGAGCGCTTGAAGGAATGTATCGAAAAAGTACAGAACGGATATACACAGGTCTCAATGGATTTACAGGTCCTACATCTATCGTCAAGGATTATGTCTCGTAACCGTAGGATTACTGCTTGTTCGAAGGTCAACAAGATGCGCATTTCGACAAATTCTAATCCTAAAATAATACGCCCACAAACTCCTACATATGCTTTTAAGTTACCGCGTAATTGATATTTTTGTTTTTATAAATGTTTTGTTTGGATTTTTTTCGAATTGATATTTGTTCATTACAAATATAATTTTTGAATGATTATTTTTAATCAATTGACTTAGTACTGATACTATGTATAGTTTTCTATTCATAGAGTTGTTTTATTTTTGATATTTTATGCTGAGAAAAAAACAGTGTGACTGTTAGGAATTTATCAAAGATTCGTCATACATATCGTAGAACTATATGACAGTTATAATTTTAACTGTTATCCAAATTCATATTCGATAATATTGTACCGAGCATATAAATATGAAATGAATCTCATTCCTCATTATTAAATTTAAAAAATTCAAGATTTTAAACATGAGAATTGCTTCACTGATTGACAGTAATGGTAGATCTTAAAGATGTTGAGTTAATCATCAAAAATTTGAATTCAAAATTAAATGAAAATTTGAAATTTGATGATGCAAAAAGGTTCAGATACATACGATAACAGTAGATACATGTATTTAAATGATTGTTTTAAAATAACCTCTAACTTTTGAGAATGAAAAATTTAATAGGATATTCATTATTTTTATATCTTAAATATTATTTTTTCAGTCTTCGTAATTTTATATTGTCACTTTTATATAAAAGTGTTGAAATTTCCAGAGATGTGATTAAACGAGTTAAATAATATTACATTAAGGGAAGTATTTTCGCTGACTGTGAAAAACATATAATTGTATGGGGGTTTAAAAAATTCTGGGGACATTAACGTGTGCGAAAACGATTTGATGAGATCATCTTGTATACAGTGATTTTGATTTTATAATAAAAATTGTGAAAGATATATGAAAAAGATATCATACAACAGCAAATCAGAGAGAATTGCCGAGAGAGTGATGTCAGTTAATCAATAGGATGTAAAATTTGGGACATAAAAAGATCGATAGGATTCAAAAATTAGCTTTATGAGAAAATAAATTGAATTCAATTTTTTGTTACTGAAAATGATAACATCTTAGGAAGCAATGAAATATAAAATAATGAATAAAATTTGAAATTAATTTTGAAAATTAAAAGGCTAATATAAAAATACTGATAATTTTTGTATCTCGTAAATTGGAATATAGTTTTCGAGGTTGACAAATGCTATTATCAAAAGTATGACTTTTTCAAATAAATGGTATTCAGTAGATAATTAGTTTAGCCATATAAATTTACAAGAGAATGCAAAATCAAGAACGTTAGTAATTGAATTGACATTTGATTTTTCAATACTATTATCAAAACTCAAAATTCTGTCTAACCGAAATTTGATTTCAAATCTATAAAATTTCAGAAAAAATCTAATGAAATCCCGCAAAAGCTTATATCCATCTAAAATATAACAAGCATTCTTGTTAACAAGGAAAATTAAAATCAAATAACCAAACAATTATCGAAAATACGAAAAATTAAATCAATAATTAATTATAAAAATTAAATTACTAAATAAAATTACTAGAATTATTGCATATGATAGGGCTGTACAAAATCGAGAAAAACATTGCCGTGCGGTAATATAGGGTCAAAAAAATCGCGCCTCGGCGGCTCCGCCGCCTCGGCACTATTAAGTGCGCATTATATTTAATATGTCCTTTTTTTTCTTTTTTCTTCTTCTTTTCCTTTCCTTCTTCCTCTCCTTCCTCTTCTTTCCTTCTCCTTCTCTTTTTACAACAACGTCGAAGATCTTCGAATTTGATTGTTGGAAAAGCATCTATTTCAGATAAAGGATGCCTTTCTCACAGTCAACATACGAGAGTCCTGGCTGAAAAGTTCTCAAAAAGCCTGAGATGGTAATTCTCTGATCACTCATAGCTGGGCAGGTAGTCATTGCTGACAATACCTGTCTTTATGCATGCACGCTTTCATGTATATGGGTTTACACTATCAATTCGCAAAGTTGTTCCGAATTCTTCCAAAATGGAAGGACCCGAAACAACTTTGCTTGTTAACGATACAGACGCATTACTTTGCATTGATACTGTGCTGAGTTGTGTAGAAAGTTTGATTAGAGTTGTTTTGTTCTGGTATCTCTCATCTTCTGATGAGAGAAATCAAAGCAACACAACTCTAATGAGTTTGTTTTCACTCATTTGTATGTAGGCTTTTAGTTCGATTGGAGCTGCTTCATAATGAGATCTCTCATCAATTGATGAGGGAGATCATAACAAAGCAGCTCTAATGTATATGCTCGTATTAACCGGGTTGTAATGCGTTGTAACGTCAGCTTGTAGTTCGTTTGGGGCCACTTCACATTGAGATGAGAAGAAATGATTAAAGGACTCTGAAAGGCTTTGACCGTTGATGTTGTAATCGCATTACTTGGAACTAGCTGGATGCTAAGCTGTGTAGAATGTTCGATTAGAGCTGTTTTGATATGATTTTTCTCATCATAAGATTGGAGGAATCATAGCAAAACAACTCTAATGGGTTTACCATCATCTACTTGTATGTAGATGTTTGGGAAATTGTCTTGTTAATCGATTTTCGAGATGACTTTCAAATGCTATCATCAAATGACAAACAAGTCTAAGATTCTCGACAATACATCAAAACATGATGTTTGTAAGTGCGATGAAGATTAGAGTTTTTTGAAGGAATGACAGAGAAGTAGGGAAGCTCGGCATTCGCCGAGCAAATTAAAAATTAACGTATGGATTAAATTTTAAGAGGAATTCAATTTTAATTACGGGTTGTTCAATATTGATTAATATAAATTTATTAATAAGAATAAAAATTTTTGTTTTTGAATTTATTCAATTTATAGCTTTACATATGGTTTCAAAATTGTACAACTATGATTTATTTCAACAAAAAATATCTTACTTTTTCACTTCACTTTCACACTCACTTTTTCCGTAATTCAAATTTCAACATTATGTATTTAATTCCTTATAGTATTTTTAACATAATTAATCAAATAATAATTGGAAGTTCTGAACTCACTTTTTCCGTAATTCAAAATCAAAAATATGAATAATATATCTATTTATTATATACTAATGCTATTTTCAACTAGAAGTGAGGTACGGTAATCTTACGGATTCCCGTAACTCAATTTTACGGAAAAAGTGCAGTAAACTACTCAATTTACGGAAAAAGTGTCGTAAACTATTGATGTGGCGGTAAAATCACGGTAATTCACAGAAAGCTATATGCGAAAATTTGAAATTATACAAAATCGAGCGAAACACTTTTAAATAGGTTGTTCTCGTATTTAAAATACTATTCCCAGATTTATTGTCGTCAGAATATTTCCAAATTTTTGCCGATTTACAAAAAATGATTTACAAAGCATATTTTTTAATCTAAAAAATTCCTAAAAAAAGGAACCGGTGTGCGGAAACCTCGGTAAATTACCGCGGTTCCCGTTGGGACTGCCATAGGCATATGATTAAAGTGATTAATAATTATCATACGGATCAATTGAAAAAGCCAAAAATTAATATTTTTCGAAAAAATACAACTAAAACAAACAAATTCTTTTAAAATTCTAATACAAATTGGTAACAAACAAAAAAAAAAAAAAAAAAAAAAAAAAAAAGGTAGTGGGGCTTCCAGGCACTTCGTGCCTTCTAGCCCTGAGGATGTTTTGTCAAGACTTCTTCGTAAATGTTTTGTCAAGATTTCATCGTAAATGTTTTGTCAAGACTTCTTCGTAAATGTTTTGTCAAGACTTCTTCGTAAATGTTTTGTCAAGACTTCTTCGTAAATGTTTTGTCAAGACTTCTTCGTAAAATCAGACAAAAATATATTTTAGGGTAGAAGGTTAGATATAACTTTTCTAACCTCTTTTCTACCCTCTTGAATTTGTCAAGATTTCTTCGTACATGTTTTGTCACTTTTCTGTCACTTTTCAGGAAAAAACATTTTTATTATATATATAAATGAATTTTACAAAACCACCGTTACCCTTCTTTGGAAATAAGAGTAGATGTAAAGATATTCTATTGAGAGAACTTAAGAAACTACCGAATGGTCTAACATTTGTAGACTTGTTCGGTGGAAGTTTCTATATATCTCATTTGTGCCATACAATATTTCCTGACTCAAAGATTATATGCAATGACTTCGACAACTATATGAACCGTCTCAAACATATACAGACACAAACAAAATATTGAAAGAGTTAAAAGAAAAGATACCTATAGGTAAGATGGAACGTATACCATTAGATAAGAAAAATACTGTCAGAGAGGTTTTGAAAAAGGCAGAGTATATTGACTGGATAGTATATCTGCTAGACTATTATATAGTGGTGCTATAAGAGTTCATGACATTGAAACACTTATGTCAAAAGTTTTATATCTTAACTATACAAATGTTTTCAAAGAGAACATAGAAAAATATATTGAGGGTATAGAGTTTGTGAGATGTCATTGGACAGAGTTGTATGAAAAATATAAAGACAAGGAAAATGTTTTCTTTATAGTGGACCCGCCGTTCTATAACACATGGGATTTTCAATACCAAGTAGACTGGACTTTGAGAGACTCTTTAGAAACTTTAGACGTTTTACATAACCATCCATGCTTTTACTTTACATCCGATAAAAGTGGTTTGGAAAGTGTCATGAGATGGTTAGAGGACATACATGACTATGAGTTTAGATACGATAAGATAGAATATGAGAGAGGTCCTATAAACTGGAGAAAGTGTCATAACAAAGAAATTTTACTAGTAAGTAAATGTGGTTTGAAATAGGACTACTTGTTTTAGGTTTTTTCCATTGTGTCATTTACTTATTTGACGTGGCAGAAAGATATAGAGAATATGAAGATGAACCAATGCCTGCAAATGTTCAGCATATGTACTCGTAAGAGATATTTTTATCTAATATTAAATGGACGCACAGAACTTAGCGAATGCACAGCAACCTGGACAACCAAACCCAGAGAATATTCCAAATGAAGTTAGAATACAAACTGCAATGGCAAAACTATGGTCAAGTGCCAACAGATGTACAAATGCAAACTGCCATGTCAAATGACGCTGCGTTAGGCTTACCACCATGGTATGCAAATATGAGATGGAAAGAGTTTTATACAAACCCTGAAGTGGGATATAAACAACTCTATGCAGATGACGCGAACACAGGAGTTGACCCAGAGTATGTTTTCTACCAGAGGAGAAATAGAATGTATGAGCTCCAGTTAAAGAATGCTATGGAACTCAACAGGAAACGTAAGAGACTAGGTGGACATTAGATTTTTACATATAGTAAAATGGGTTTCTTCAGTAGTATTGGAAACTTCTTTCGAAATGTTGGAAGAGGTATATGGAATGGAATAAAAACCGTAGGAAGAGGAATTTGGAACGGAGTCAAAAATATTGGTAAAAGAGTAGGTCAGTTCGTTGGTATTATACCTAAAGACCCTGAACCAGAAGAACAAGCTCCTGTTATACAACAGCCTGAACCTGCACCACAGTCAAGTTGGCAACCAAATCCAACACCTCAACCGTATTAAAATTATATTTTTTACCGTTCGATAGTAGTTGTATATGAAACTAAGTTCTAAGTAAAACGCGTGGTATAATGGAATTATTCTCTTTCTTCCATCTGTAGTAAACCATACTTGAAAGTCTGAAATACTTCCACTCGTGGTTCATATAGCTTTGTAGGTTTTTCGTAAAAGTCATTTGCCAAGCATAAAAAAGAGTTTTGTGCACCAGAAAATGAAGCATGAACTATAATAGCATCTGAGTCGAAAACATCTTTAAATAAATATGGTTCATCTCTTGCATATCGACTGTAAATATTTGCTAAAGGAAGTTCGACTTTCTGATTTAACATTCTTTGCAAATAATACCATGACATTGCAGTGAATTCTGTATATATTTGTTCGTCTTTCTTTGGATTGTCTTCGTAGATTTGAAATGACACTTGTGAATTTTGTTTGTCATATACAATTCTCACATAAAGTGTGCTCTCGGTATTTGCATATTCATCAGCATATTTTGCATAACATGAATTTATTTTATCTTCTATATTTTTTAACGCAGTCTGTAGAGAAGATGAAAGGTCAACTTGTATTAGCTCAATTTCTTCCCACATTTTTCGTTTCCCTTCAGATATATAATCTATATGAAACCTTACAATAAATGGAAAACTTTTATCTTCTACAGACACAAACTTCATTCTACGAAAGCCAATAGCTTTTGTGACAGATGGGTCTCTTAGCCATCTTAATGGGTAGTCAAAACGATAGCCTTCATGCTTTACGGTCTCTGTCTCAAACTTTTGACCGACATTAGTAAAAAGTTCATCTAATGGTTTAGTTGTAGCAACTCTTGAATTTTCTTTTTCTATTGGAAGCATATTTTATCTAGAATAAAAATGTCGAAAGAAACAGCGTCTATGAGAGAAATACAACACAACCGACAACTCATTTTGCAAGCTCTAAATAAGAACACAACAAACTTTTCAAACTATTCTAAGATATCTGAGTCATTGAAAGAAGGAAACTTAAAACTGACGATAAACCCAATGACAGATGAGTTTCTGTTTCAAGACAGTAAGAACCATACTGTCTGTGTAAATCCAACAAAAGGAACTTTAAACGAGAAGCCTATAAAAGAACTTCTTTTGAAAGCAGATGTTGACAACAAAGCTGACAAAGAGTATGTCATTGAAAAAGTTCAAGAAGAACATGACAGAGCAGATGCAACATATGCAACGAAAGAACATACTCATCCTGAACTAGCAGACAAAACATATGTTGACAATAAAATGTCAAGTGAAGTGACAAGAGCTGACAAAGAATATTCTAAAAAGACTCATACACATACCATTGCAAATATTACAAACTTACAAGAAACCTTAAACAGGAAAAGTGACGTTGGACATACACATTCTATATCTGAAATAACAGACTTAAACGTTAGCCTTGAAAAGAAAGCTGACAAAACATATGTCAACAGTGAGTTAGAGGAGAAAGTAGATAAGGACTTATGGCTAGTGTGTTAGTGAAGAAGGCAGATAAGGAATATGTGGATGAAAAAGATGAAGAAATTAAAAAAATGGTTGAATGGTATAATGAACGGACATCGAAGATTTTAGAAGGTAAAGCCAATACAGGGTGGGTTTCAGGATGTTTAGACCTTATAGCCGACAAAGAAACTGTAGATATGTTGGCACAAACGGTTTCAAGTCATACCAGAGGTTTAATGGAAGATGGACAACAGTTGAAAGAGCTTGAGAAAGGTGTTACAGAGTTAAGGAATACAAAAGCAGACTCGACATGGATAAAAGGATATGTAGATGCAACAAAAGAACGTATTTTCGCATGGACAGAAGGAACATACCCACAAAAATATCATAGACATAGCATCTCTGACGTAAATGAACTTGAAGAAAAGTTATATAAAAAAGCAGACAAAACAGAGCTTCAAACATTAAAGACAGAAATACTTCAAACAATATATCCTATAGGTTCTATTTACACGTCAATGAACTCTACCAGACCAGAAGTAGTACTTGGTCTCGGAACTTGGACTCAAATAGTCGACAGGTTTTTGTATTGTGCAAACTCTTCAAAGGAAACAGGTGGAAGTAAAACGATTTCAGGTGAAAACTTACCTGCACACAGTCATTACATAAATTTAACTACAGCTGAAGCAGGTTGGCATAAGCATAGATATTGGGATTGGACAGGAATGACAAAAGGTAAAGGATATGATGTTAAAGACGACGTTAAGTTTGCTATAAATTGTTACTGGAGTGACACTCAGGGAGAAGGAAACCATACACATTTCGTTTCAGGATATACGCAAACAACGGGACAAAGTAAAGACTACATGCACCTTACATGACAGTTTACGCATGGTATAGAATTGCTTAGTCGTCATTTTCAACTTCTTTAGCATATTCGTCAGGAGTTGTCTTATATTTGTTAGGAACTGTCTTTGAAAGTATACCACCTTGAACTTTGACAAGTTTGAAACGAGGTCTGACAATAGTAGTTTTATCTTCTGCTTGCAGTCTGTACATTTTGCCATGTTTGCCTAAAACTTCATAATATTCTCTTGTATACTTTCTTCTATTTTTACGAACACGAACGTGAGTACCTGTCGAGTTCCCATTGTTGTCATAGTCAATAGTATTTTCATATGGGTCGCGTTTAGGTATTTCTATTTTTACTTTGTCACCTTTCTTAAGTTTGAAGCCTGGCATTCTTTCTTGTTTGTCTCTTTTGACTAAACTATTAAATATATAGTCTTTCTCTAAGTCAGGGTTGTTTTTCATTTCTTCGGGGAGTGGTTTCCCAAACCTTTTTGTTTACGGCTATTGTAAATATTTAAAACTTGTCTCATCTTTGCCATGGAGAAGTGTCTATACTTGTCGTCATATGACATTTCATTTGCTTCACCACCTTGTGGTTGGTTTAAGTCTCTTAAGATTTTTATACAACTGTCAATGACACCAAGAGCAGAATGGTTTTGGTCGACAATGAAATATTGGTTTACATTTTTTGAACGCAGATAGTTTTTAATATCGTCTGATTTGAAAGAACTTTCACAGTCAGATGTCAGTTTTGTTGGATGGTATTTGTCAACGAATATTGTCAAAGCAGTTTTCACATCTAAAATATTTTTGGACTGTAATGGTATGGCTTCACAGTATCTTGTGTTTTGACCGACAAATATTAGCCAGTATGGTGGTCCATCTTCTCTATACCTCGGAATGTTTTCCAAGATATCCATAAACCAAGCATTTGGTGTTGAACTAAAGATTTTTATCATGAGTGCTTTCTTTGTCGCTTTAGAAACATAGGGTCCTTGTTTGGATTCGTCATTTTTTACCCTATAAGAAATGGGTTTATTTGGCGCATTAGCAGGAGTTGCATCCAGATTTTTGCCCGCAGTGGAACAATAGCCAGAGGTGCATTTGGAATTGGAAGGAAGATTTTGAGTACATTAGGTATACTGAAAGAGAAAGCACAGCCTATTATACAAACTGTACAGAAAGGTTGGGAGGTAGCACGAGATGCAACAAATCTTATTCCAAATCCTGAAACAAGAGGAAAAGTTCAAGGATGGATGGACAATGTAGGAAGAGAAGCAGGAAACTACTATAACAAAGCAAATGACTACTATAACCAAGCAGGGCACTATATGGACCAAGGTGAAAGATTCTTTAACAGAGGATATAACCATGCACAACAGTGGGTAAACAACAACCAACCGCAACCGCCTCAAACGTGGGGAATGTAAATTTTTTTACTGAGATGAAATGAACAATACAGCATTGAGACAAATGGGCTCAAGATGGATTTGTCGGCTTCCAGCAGTTACACAACCACGTGTTTGTCAAGTTCTTCCTATACCTCAGGAAGTTTTAGACCGACTTAAAAAACCTAAACAACCAGTTGAAAACAAACCAAACTAAAATTTTTTACTGAGATGAAATGACCGAAGAAGTTGAAACGGTAGATTTGACACCACAAACAAAAAGTTCAGAACCATTGTCAAAACCTGTCAAAGAACTTACAGATGAAGAGAAAAATTCAATAATAGAAAGTGCCAGGTCTGGAAATACAAACCCTAACTACAAAGTCACTTTTCATAGAAATGGAACGGCTAGTATCTCAAAAAAGAAACAGACTCTCACAAATAAAATATTGAAGTCTGAAGGAGCTTTCGAGACAACAGATGGGAAGGTATTCTTCACCGACCAACAGTTCATTATAGAACATCTCATTGACTTAGAGTCGAAATATTCTAAACTTTACAACAAACACAAAAAGTTGAAAGGAAAACAAAAACAAATGGCATATGATATTTACGAAGATACTAACGACACAACCATACCTGCAAGTGAGGTAAGGTCAGAGGAACCGAAAAGTGACGAAAAACCGATAGAAGAAGAGAAACCAAAAACTGAAGATAAACCAAAACCAAAGTTTAGTCTCCAGACTAAACCAACTCAACCTTCATTAGCTGGTATGGGTTGGCGTCAAAGACTTATGGTAGCTGGTGGTTATGTTAAGTAAAGGAAAAACAGTATATTTTTCAAAAAAATATTTTTTTATTTTATTTGAAATGTACGCTGAGTCTGTCGGAAAGGACCGTTGGGAAACTTGTTTGTTAGATGAGAAATATGAAATTCACTGTTGTGAGTCATTTGAAGTCAGAAACAAAAAGACAAAAAGAGTTTTAAGCGAATGGGAGCAAAATGACGGATATGCTAGGATGAGGATTGGTGGAAAACACTATCTTAAACATGTTGTCATTGCAACTCATTTTATACCAAACCCTAACAATTTACCTTTTGTAGACCATATAAACCGTATAAGAAACGACAATAGACTTGAAAACTTACGTTGGGTCACTTGTTCTGAAAACAATAAGAACAAGGGTAGATTTAGAGATATTGTATTCGAATTTGTCGACGAACTAGAAGATGAAGCAATTGAAATTACAGACTATGGCAAGCATACGTTTGAGTTTTACTACTATAGCGAAGAACAAGACTCTTTCTACTTTTATACCGGCGTAAACTATAGGAAATTACAAGTATATTTTACTAAGGATGGCTGTGCTCATGTAAACGCTAGAGATACAGATGGAAAACACGTTCATATATTTCTCAACAAATTCAAGAAGCTATATGGCATACCATTTTAAAACGTTTTTTAAAACAATATATTTTTACATATATTAAATGCTTCAGGTTGAAAAACAAAGAACAAAAGTAGTAGATACAAAACCGTTAGACTATATCTTTACAAATGCCGGTAGAAATATTTCAGATGAAGAAATTTCATCCCGTTCATACAGATTTGACAGTTTATAGAAACGTGTTTGACCCTCAAAATGTTATGTGTCATGCAAGTTTCAGTTCAAGCAACAACAGTTTTCTTTGTATCGGTAAGGACTTTTATGACTTTGCTTCTAAATTCTACGAACCACCTAGTAACAGTTTCTCTGACTTTCAAGTTTGGTTCACAACAAATGGTGTGCAGCATATAATACCATTGTACTATGACTTTTATCTCGAATTGTCTTTCATATACAACTACGGAAAAGTGCTGAAAAAGTATTGAAAAATAATGTTTAGGTGAAGAGGTGAGATTTCACCTCTTTTTTCACCTGTTTTTTCACCTCTTGAATTTTCATGAAATTTGTGCTGAATTCGACAAAAATGAGTTTTGGTTGAAAAAAGAGGTGGAGCCAAAAGTGGCTCGACCTCAAAACAAGCATTTTGTGAAGAATATAGCAACCGTCGGAAAACAGCGGGTTGCTTTTTATACAAAATTCAACAGGTGAATTTTCATGAAATTCCTTAAGATAGAAAAATTAAAGTTAGTTTTATTTTTTTTATTTTTTTATTTTGTATGTAAGAACAGATATGTTAAACATTGAGTTTGAAACAGTTAAAAAGATAGACAATGACACCAAAGTGGTTAGAATAGGTGATTTAAACGTAAGATACTCAAAGAAATACAACAAATATTCTTTGTCAGACATTATATCTCCATCTGGAAAGAAAACATGGCATTGGGTTGGAATTGCTTCAACTCAGAAAATTTTGACAAGAAATCCTGAGCTTATGATATCGGTAAGATTCTATGGAACTACAGCATATCTCATTGACAAAAGTCTTATACCGATAGTTTTGTTATGGATTGACCCAGTTGTTGGATATAATTTCATAACATATGGTTCATTCGATACGGAACGTTGCAGTGAGGGCTTACTTTACATCGTTCAGAAACCGAAGGACTTCAATACAAAGAGATATAAGATAGGAAGAACATATAATATAACTCAAAGATATGACAGTACAGTCAATAGAGTTAAGGTTGTGTTTGTTAACGATATGAGAGCTGCTGAAACAGAACTACTTGAAAAGTTTGAGAAGATGTATGGTGCTCCCACGAAAGGTAAAGAAACGTTTGAAGTAGATGAGATAGATAGTGCTATAAAATTATTTGACGAAGTTGCTGAAAAATACATGTAAAGCGTATATTTTTGGTCTTTTGTGAAAGTCAGAAAATAAAGTTAGTGTCATTTTTTTGTATTTTTTTGTATTTGACGAGAATGTTTATGTTAGAATGTTAGATCTAACATGTTTTCTAACACGTTTTCTAACATGGTCTAAAACTCTTGAATTTTCATGAAATTTACACCAAAAATATATTTTAGGTGAAGAGGTGAGATTTCACCTCTTTTTTCACCTCTTTTTTCACCTCATGAATTTTCCCGAAATAAAAAATAAAGTTGGTTTTTTTAAAAAAATATTTTTTTATTTTTATTGTAAGAACATGTTAGCAACAACAGCACCAAACTCTTTAGTCATGAACCCAACTTCAATGTTAGTAGAGATGAAAAGCTTCATTCCTTCTTCATATACTTTCGAAACAGAAATCCAGAAGATAAAGCAAGAACTCTCCAAGGAGATTTAGACTGTAGTGCGAAAGATGAAACAAATGAACAGTATCTTTATGAAATGCAGGACATTATTGACCATCTACCTAAACTTCCTGAAATCCAACAACAAAAGCTTACTATTCCAGAATTCGATGAAATAGAAGTCAAAGCAACTGACTCAGTAGAAATAAAGAAGTTCATACGAAAGGTAAACTATGAGTTTCTTGGATTTCATTGCAACCACAAAGTCATGGACAAAGACTGCGATATGGTATATAAGAACATCTCTGACATATACAAATCTGGGAGTTTAAGACCTACGACAACTTTGTTTCGTTAGTTGCAAAATGTGTATGGCAGATAAGAGATAAAGATAGAAGAGGTAAGATATGGAATGAACAAATAAGACCCGCAACTTTTGAGTTAAAGAGAGCAATTGACGCCTTAGTTGTTTTAGCAGGTAAGGTTTCAGAATATAACGCAAAAATGAACCCGCAATGTTCTAAATGTAAGGCAGCAATTAGGAAATATAACTACTCAGTCAAAGAGATAGAACGTATGAGAAACGACTATGCAGATTTAAAGAAAGAAGCAGAAAAACCAGCAGAAGATAAAATGGACATGTTAGAATTTCTGAACAAAAACTATCCAACAGCAGAAGATTTCCTTCTTTCAGATGTCAAGAAGAAGTATAAAGAAACCTTCGGCATAGTTAAAACATTCGATGTACTAAAAGAAGAAATAGAAGCTACGAAATTGTTTAGGATTTCAAATATACATCATACAATTCATGTAAAACGCTTATAAAATAACAGGTGAAAAAAGAGGTGAAAAAAGAGGTGAAATCTCACCTCTTCACCTAAAATATATTTTTATTGAATTCAGCAACAAAATTCTGAGTAAAATGACATATGGAACACATACTTTTTCAGTAAGGACATATGGGGTAGAAATGAGGGTAGAAAACGGGGTAGATATACCCTTCTACCCTAAAATATATTTTTGTCTGTTTTACACTCATTGACGATTAAAGTCTTGACAAAACATATACGATGAAGTCTTGACAAAACATATACGAAGAAGTCTTGACAAAACATATACGAAGAAGTCTTGACAAAACATATACGAAGAAGTCTTGACAAAACATTTACGATGAAATCATGAAAATTCATGAGGTGAAAAAAGAGGTGAAAAAACAGGTGAAATCTCACCTCTTCACCTAAAATATATTTTTGCTGAAAAAAATGACCAAATTTCATGAATTTCCTTAAGACAGAAAAAATAACGCTAGTTTTTTATAAAATATTTTTTTTATTTTGTATGTAAAGACAGATATGTCAACAACAGAGAACACAACAACTGCTATCGTTCATGAAGCCATAAATGAAGAATACGAGTGGGTTCAGTTTAACAAACAGTTACGTCTCATTCGTTCGGTCAAAGATGACATGTACCAAATGCAAAGTATTTTGACAGCATGTTTTGCTCCAGATACCAAGAAACCACAAGACTGGTTTGAATTAAATAGCACTCATGAACTCCTCAGTGAGTTTGAACATGAAGAACTTAAAAAGATGTACCAAGACAGACAAAACTTACCATCGCATCTAAAAGGTATATATGTTCATAAGTTCCTAGTTAGTTCAATAGCAATGTGGGCTTCACCTCGCTATGCATGGTATGTTTGTAAACTTCTTGACGAACTTTGTACAAAGCAGAGAGAAGATATGATGAAAGAAGACAAAAACATACAGAAAAGAATACCACGTTCGGTACCAAAAGGAAAGGAAAAGAACTATAAGTATATGATTTACACTGAAGAGATGGAAAATGAAGAAGACAGAGATATGGTTATGTTGCATTTAGTCAGAAGAAACAACAAAAGCTTTTACGACCTTGCTAAGATTTACAAATCTGACAGAAATTGGTTCTATCGCGAAAACTTACCGATTTCAATGACACCAAATGAAGATGTTAAACAGATAGTTCAAGATACGTTACCTCAAACACACTATGATATGAAAGGTTGTACAATACTTACATTCAAAGAAGATTTGCCATTGTTAAAGGAAAAAATAACAGAGTATTTTGACAACTTCAAAGAGGAAGAGTAAATGAACCATTTATTTTTCAAGCTTGACACCAAAGATGGCTCATGTAGCTCTAGATGGTAAATTGCCTTGTCAAATCCTTCTGGGTCTATGTCGGTCATTGCACTGCTTCAGAACAATACTTGTACTTTTTCAAGACAATGTTGTACTTTTTCAAGACAATGTTGTATAAATTCAGTACAATATTGTACTTTTTCAGAACAATGTTGTATAAATTCAGTACAATGTTGTATAAATTCAGTACAATATTGTACTTTTTCAGAACAATGTTGTATAAATTCAGTACAATATTGTACTTTTTCAGAACAATGTTGTATAAATTCAGTACAATGTTGTATAAATTCAGTACAATATTGTACTTTTTCAGAACAATGTTGTATAAATTCAGTACAATGTTGTATAAATTCAGTACAATGTCTCTCAAATTTGAGTACGGCTGTACTTTTTCAGAACAAGTCTTGAACTTTTTTCAGAACAATGTTGTACTTTTTCAAGACAATGTTGTATAAATTCAGTACAATATTGTACTTTTCAGAACAATTGTATAAATTCAGTACAATGTTGTATAAATTCAGTACAATGTCTCTCAAATTTGAGTACGGCTGTACTTTTTCAGAACAAGTCTTGAACTTTTTCAGAACAATGTTGTACTTTTTCAAGACAATTTGTACTTTTTCAAGACAATGTTGTATAAATTCAGTACAATGTTGTACTTTTCAAGACATATTGTACTTTTTCAAGACAATGTTGACTTTTTCAAGACAATGTTGTATAAATTCAGTACAATATTGTACTTTTTCAGAACAATGTTGTATAAATTCAGTACAATGTCTCTCAAATTTGAGTACGGCTGTACTTTTTCAGAACAAGTCTTGAACTTTTCAGAACAATGTTGTACTTTTTCAGAACAATGTTTACTTTTTCAAGACAATGTGTATAAATTCAGTACAATGTTGTACTTTTTCAAGACAATATTGTACTTTTCAAGACAATGTTGTACTTTTTCAAGACAATGTTTATAAATTCAGTACAATATTGTACTTTTTCAGAACAAAGTTGTATAAATTCAGTACAATGTCTCTCAAATTTGAGTACGGCTGTACTTTTTCAGAACAAGTCTTGAACTTTTTCAGAACAATGTTGTACTTTTTCAAGACAATGTTGTACTTTTTCAAGACAATGTTGTATAAATTCAGTACAATGTTGTACTTTTTCAAGACAATATTGTACTTTTTCAAGACAATGTTGTACTTTTTCAGACAATGTTGTATAAATTCAGTACAATATTTACTTTTTCAGAACAATGTTGTATAAATTCAGTACAATGTCTCTCAAAATTTGAGTACGGCTGTACTTTTTCAGAACAAGTCTTGAACTTTTTCAGAAAATGTTGTACTTTTTCAGAACAATGTTGTACTTTTTCAAGACAATGTTGTATAAATTCAGTACAATTTGTACTTTTTTTCAAGACAATATTGTACTTTTTCAAGACAATGTTGTACTTTTTCAAGACAATGTTGTATAAATTCAGTACAATATTGTACTTTTTCAGAACAATGTTGTATAAATTCAGTACAATGTCTCTCAAATTTGAGTACGGCTGTACTTTTTCAGAACAAGTCTTGAACTTTTTCAGAACAATGTTGTACTTTTTCAGAACAATGTTGTACTTTTTCAAGACAATGTTGTATAAATTCAGTACAATGTTGTACTTTTTCAAGACAATATTGTACTTTTTCAAGACAATGTTGTACTTTTTCAAGACAATGTTGTATAAATTCAGTACAATATTGTACTTTTTCAGAACAATGTTGTATAAATTCAGTACAATGTCTCTCAAATTTGAGTACGGCTGTACTTTTTCAGAACAAGTCTTGAACTTTTTCAGAACAATGTTGTACTTTTTCAGAACAATGTTGTACTTTTTCAAGACAATGTTGTACTTTTTCAAGACAATGTTGTACTTTTTCAAGACAATGTTGTACTTTTTCAAGACAATATTATATTGTTTCAGAACAAAGACGGTTAAGACACAAACGAATGTCCGACGTTCCTCTTCCTGAATGCCTTCCAAAGCCAGAAGAACCGACAGCCCCAGCACCACAACAGACTAAGACTAAAACTCTTTATTTTTCAAGCTTGACTTTTTACAATTTGAACTTTGTTCGCGTAGATGTGAATTCTGAAAGAAGTATGAGGGTCTTGTATGACTTTGTACTTCTCCCATAGTTCATGTCTGTCAAACTTACCTGCCATGGACTCTTTCATAAGTTCCATGAAATCGTCTTCGGACAATCCAGGGAAAAGTATGATATCAGTAAGTATTCTTTTAACATCCTTACTTAAACTCTTTGCTGTCTGTACACAAATGACAACTGAGATGTTAAAGTGCCTAAGTTTCTTAAGAATTCGACACATGTCTTGTTCTCTGTTCTTTAACAAAGGATGAGAGGCGAAATCATCTAAGATAAGAAGACATCTGTGAGGGTAAGTCTTCCAATCGTAAGATTGCAATTTCTTCGAAATGTATTCTATCTCTTTCTGTTTGTTTCTGAAGTGTTTCTTCTCTAATATTCTCTGCATTTCCTCATTTGGGTCTTTAAACTTCGAATTTATATACTCATTTATAGCATTGTACTTCAAAACTCTTCTTTGTACTTCTTTATCCAATCTAACAACTCAGAGTCTTTTATACATACTAACTTAGACTTCTTTATAATATCTTTGAACGAATTGACGGTTTGGTCAAATTGACCAGAAGTACTACAAATGACAACTAACTCATAGAATGGGTTCTTCTCATCTAGTTCTTGTTGTTGTGCAGCCATTTTAAGATAAGTGAAAGTCTTGCCCGACCCAGGTGGTGCGATTAGACCTGTTATACCATTCTGAGCAAATAAGAACTTGTCATGTATGGGTTTTATCTGAGCATTTTCCAACTTCCTCTTGTTCTTCTTTCAAAACATTCTCAAATTTCTTGTCAATGTCAGCAAACTTTTTTCTAACATATTTTTAGAAAAATTAAAATTTTTATCTTTTAGAAAATGTCTAGCGATTTCGCTATCTATATTCGAGACAAGCTTTTCGACTCTAAAACTTCTGTCGACCATAAAATCTTACATAGTGTAAACAAGAAAGGTGAATTTGTTCTAAAGTTCTGTTTCTGGGAATATGACAAGAACCATAAAACATTACAAAGAGCAGTCTTAAAATTTGTCAATGACAGACTTGTTGACAGAGATGACGCCGATTGGAAAGATGAAGTCCAACAAAATTCTTAGAATGCAAAGAAGGCACATGCGCTGTTCTTGAAGATGAAATAGAAAACAGAATAGATGAGCTATTAAAGGACAAAGAACTTTTACATAAATATGGTTCTGAGAAATTTGACATAACTCCACCAGAGAAGAAGAAGAAGAGAGAAAGAAAGAAAAGAAAGTAGAAGAAGAGAAGAAAGAACCTGAACCAGTTCCAGAGAAGGTGAGATATGACATGTAAAAATAAAATTTTATTTTTAGAACATTTCTGGGTCAATGTCAATGTTCTCTTCCTCTTTAGGAGCAAACACTGGCTTAGACTCTAAAATCTTTTTACCCAATTTACCTTGAACTTCAACTATCTTAGACTCATAATATTCATAGTCGTCTGCTTTCTTTGGTTCATAAGGTATAACAAGTTTGTATGCTTTGCCTTCTT